TGTGAGAACTGACAAAGAAATCACCTAAGTAATGCCATTGCATGTCTGCACTCAAACCTCAGCACCATTCCATGACAGATCCCCCTTCTTCCACAAAGCAGGAGCAACCCCAAATGCAACGCTGCAATGGAAAGAAGGCGCAGTCTGGTGGGGTGTCCCCATGCCTCTGAACTGGAAGGACGACAGGGAAAAGTGCACTCCCTTGAAAAATGCACAGGGAAGTGCCTGCTTCCGCCTTTCCAAATGTCCCATGTGAACTGAAAGAAAAGCAAAATGAGCTGAGATCCACTTGAAAGATGCCACATTCCAGTGGATCCATCCCTCAGAAAACAGTCTTGTGGAAGCTCCTGCGTTTCTCCTGTTTACCATGAGCTCACAGAAGCCCACACTTGCTGGAGCCTTCCTTGGGGTCCCTGCCAAACAGGTTGGAGCACACTGCAGCGAGAGATGGGAGGGAGGGCAGGGGGTCCAGGAGCTCTCTTCTTCCTCACCCCAACCCCCTCCTCAAAGAGCCTGCCAGATGTTCCTGTCCTTTGCCAGCATCCCACACCATTCCCAGAGCTCTCTGTGGCTTGACCAGACAAATTCTCTCCATGCAGGGGCTGAGCATCCAAACCTCGTACATTTCATTCCACTTGACTTAAGCTATGTTTCCAAGTGTGCAAAATGAGAATGACCCAGCGCCAGAGAAGCGCTCCAAATAGTCAGATTAAAATGCAGGAGAATTTATGATGTCCAGGCACCATGGAAGCTTGCAGGCTGGACCAGCGAAGTCCAGCCCCAGACAGCGCCTCGCCTCAGCCCCATTTTTGGCCCCTTGCCTGGCAAATTGTACCTTCCGTTCCTCATTCAGAACTGCTGTGAAGAAGGGGGATATGTACACGTGTTTTTCATTTTTTAAAGAAATGGATCTACTGGGGCAGAGGAGAATGTTGTTAAATTTTGCAGCTCACACAATGGCAGCATCAAACGCACACGCATGTGCACGAAATCTAAGCTTGAGGTGTTGGGGGCTTTGCTTGCTTGCTTCGTATTTCTGGGATCCACTTGTACAGGATCTTCCCCAGTGCTGGCTGAGGTTGCTCCAGCTTACAAATAGGTGCTGGCCTGGCATGAGCACTGCCCCTTTCCTTATCCTGCAGTGAACCCGGGGTGGGTCCAAGCTTTTCTCCTCTCACTGCAAGAACCCTGTGGGTTAGGTTCGGCTAAGAGGCAGCAATTGGCCGAAGGCCACCCAGGGAGCCCCATGGCCGTGGGGGAACTAGAGCCAGATCTCCTGATGCAACGCAGGGGGAGCTTCAGATTCCACCCACGCATGGAAGCGTGTGCATGCAGACGGGCAGGCTCTGGGGGGTTGCTCCTCCCGTTTCCTGGATTTTGGCTCACGGGGGCAGGAGGGGAGCGCACTTGCATTTCAGAGGACCCGGAAATTCTAGTTGGCTCCCAGGTGCTCCTCCGAGCAGTGGTTCTTAAGATCCCTCCGCCACCAGGATCAAGCGGTTCAGTCTGGTGAGTGGAAAGCACAGCTGGAGGAAAGAAGGGTGAAAAACTGCTAGACTATCACAGGAATGGAAGTCACATTGCAAGCATTCCAGTGGGTTAAAACATGCAAAAAGTCCTGGAGGCGAAGGAAGGCGGGGAGGAGGCAGGGCGGGGGGGGGGGGACTGCTGCCTGGCAGCCGCACTGAGACTCGCTTCACGATGCAGTGGCGCCACCTGCTGGTCGGGTGGTTCACCTTTGTGCGAGCCCGGCCCTTTCCACGTGCCCCCGGCCCCCATGCCTCGCCCACTCTTTTCTCTGGAAACAGGGCTGGCCAAGGATCCCGAGGGAAAAGGGGCCATGTCCTGAGTGGGGACAAGAACGGGATTCTTGAGTTTGCCCCACATGTTGCCCCCAAGGTGTGCAGAACCACTGGGCCCTCCTGCTCCTCAGCAGTCACAGTGAGCAGGCACTAGCTCCATCCCCAGGAGAGGTGCAAGGTCTTGCACTTGGGGTGTAGAAATGGGTCTCGTAAGTACAGGTTGGGGGACAAGTGGCTGGAGAGCAGCACCTGTGAAAGGGACCTCGGGGCGCTGGTTGCCTGCAGGCTGAACATGAGTCAGCCGTGTGATGCGGTGGTCAAGAGGGCGAACACCACCCTTGGTTGCATAGCCAGAAGTGTGGCTTCTAGATCAAGAGAGGGATTACTACCACTCTATACAACTCTGGTGCGCCCGCAACTGGAGTATTGTGCTCAGTTTTGGGCCCCTCATTACAGGAAGGATATAGCCAGGTTCGAGTCAGTGCAGCGCAGGGCCACAAGGTTGGTGGCCGGTTTGCAGGGGAAGCTGTATGAGGCGAGACTGAGGGAACTGGGTCTCTTCAGCCTGGAGAAGAGGAGACTCAGAGGGGATATGTTGGCGACATACAGGTATGTGAGGGGGTGTCACACACAGATGGGCAGAGACCTCTTCTTCCCTGCAGAGGAGGGCAGGACGCGCTCCAACGGAGCAAAGCTCAGGGAACCAAGGTTCAATTCAGATGCCAGGAAGTCCTTCCTGACAGTTAGGACCCCGAGGGTATGGAATGGGCTCCCACGGGAGGTGGCTGAGGCCCCATCAGTGAAAGTGTTCAAGGAGAGGCTGGACGTCCACATGGTGGGCATGTCTTGAGTGGAGCCAGGGGTCAGACGAGATGGTCCGGGACGCCCCTTCTGACTTGCTCTGTTTCTGTGAGAACTGGCAGCCTGCACCACGCACGGCTCTTCTTAAAGCTTGCCACCAGGTGGAAGCACAGGACAACGCTTGCTTGGAGCCAGCTGTGCTGCAATGCACCTCTAAGCTTTCCTGAGACTCCATTTCTCTCTTGCACACGGAAGGGGCCTGCGTGTTGCTTTGCCCAGAAATGGTTCTTTGGGCACAGGCCAAAAGCCAGCACTGTTGCCACTCCAGCCTCCCTACCGGGCATCATTCCTGCCCCAGCTGGCTGGTGCTCTCGCTTGCGCAGCACAAACTGCTGACGCCAGACAAAGATGGCCTGGACTTGAAGCAACATGCTGTTCCAGCAGCAGCCTGCCAAATGGTCAAGACGCTCCATTCCAGAGTGAGTCGCTGCCATGGAAGAGAAGTCTGCAAGGCTGGGTGTTTCTTGGGAGGTGCGCTTGCATTTCACCCAGTGGAGCCTTCCCCACTGGCCCTGCTGGGCTTTGCTGGGCCTACGTCCAGCTTTGCCAGGAAATCTGGGCACCGGCGCGGGAGCCCTGCCAGCCATGGCGAGAGGCCCTTGCAGGGCATGCCCCTCCCTGCAAGGTGAGGCCACTGCTCCCCACCAGTCCAAGCCAGTCTCACCTGTGTCAACGTCCAGGGCGTGGGCAGCTGGGTATCAGATCAGGGCACCAGGACCCAGACAAGCGGTACGATATACAGGCCCATTCAAAATCGTAGTACAATAGACCAGAGGTCAAGGCAGGCAACAGAAGTGCGAGGTAGGCCAGTCCGAAGGGCGAAGAGCAGCCAAGCCGGTCAGGAGTCACCAACCGCAGAGACAAGCCGAGGAGAAGCGGGTACCTGGAGCTGGAGCAGGTGAAGCCGGGCATGGTCAGAGGCAGAGGCAGGAGCAAGGCGGCAGGCAGGGTCTCCAGAAGCGGGTTCCAGAAGGCACAGGGAGCTCCAACAGCACCAAGATCCTTGGCTGCTGAGGCCACGTCTGAAGGGAAGAGCCGCTTCTGAGCCCCTCCTGCCTCAGGACTCCCAGCCTGGTCTGCTCCAACTGCACTAGATTGCAGCTTCCAGCATCCCCAGCTAGTTGCAGTCCAGGGTCTCTGGAGGGCTCTGGTTTGGAAAAGGTGAATTACCAGGTTTCCTAAAGAGGAGACTCAGAGGGGATCTGTTGGCGACATACAGGTATGTGAGGGGGTGTTACATGGAGATGGGTAGAGACCTGTTCTCCCCTGCAGAGGAAGGCAGGATGCGCTCCAACAGAGCAAAGCTCAGGGAACCAAGGTTCAACTTGGATGCCAGGAAGCACTTCCTGACAGTTGGGACCCCGAGGGTGTGGAATGGGCTTCCACGGGAGGTCGTTAAGGCCCCATCGGTGCGAGTGTTCAAGGATAGGCTGGATGTCCACATGGTGGGCATGTCGTGAGCGGAGCCGGCTGGCGCTGGAGGTCAGACTAGATGGCCCGAGAGACCCCTTGTGACTCGCGCTGTTTCTATGTTTCTTATAACAGGGATGGGCATCCCTTGAGGTCCTGCTGGTCCCAGCCAGAAAGCCAAGCACACCTTGCCATTTGACACCCGCCCCCGCAATCCTGGTGCAACCCTGAGCAAGGAGGAGCTCCAGACACCAAGAGATTCCCAGGAAGCTGCACCCTGGAGAAGCGAAACCGACATGCATCTGTGGGGCCAGCCTTCGGCGCACCCATCCTCTCCATCACAACCAGCAGAGGCCCAACAGTGGTCCATGAGCTGGTCCTCCCCTCCCACCCCCGCGACTTCCATGAGGAGGCTACCATGGCATCTTTTTCTTCTCCAAACTCCCTGACTTCACAGCAAGGCCACCCCCATAACTATCTCCTTGCTTCTTTTTCCACATGCAACAGCAGTTGTGTGCACCTTTGAAATGTATGCATTCTCCCCCAATGCTTAAAGCATTTGTGCGCTCATTTTGCAAAAGTATGCCCTGGTTTCATGCCCATTTTTCAAAAGTATGTGTGGAGTTGGATACATTTGGGTGGGGGCCAGAAATCACACTGCAACCTTAGAAATGCAAAAACGCCAACCAACTTGCGCTCAAAATCATATTCAGTCCCCAAGATGCAAACTTGGTGGCTCCCAGTCAAAACAAAATTGAGACGAACTTCTTGTATACGAATAAGCCAGGGCTACTTTGGAGGCCTTGTGCTTGCAAAGCAAATTGTAAATGTGAGCAAAATGTGTAAATGTAAAAAGTGAAATGTGAGCCCAGCAACAAGACACTGAACTGAAAAAGGAGCAAAGAAAAAAGAATACTCACTGACAAATAAAAGAGAAATAGAACTGTATTATATTTTAAAATGCTCATATATTTTCTTTTTACTTTTTTAAACAATTCTAATACATTTCTTCAAAATACTGGCATTTCCAGCAATTTTTTTCATTTACTTAATTTTTTAGTGAACAATAGTACGCGGTAGTGATTTCACAGTAAAGTTGACCTGCATGGCGATGCAGTGGTGGGGGGGGGGGGCAGCAAGGGACGCGACAAAGGGCCCTGTTTTGGGAATCCAAAAGTAGGTGGGTTGGGAGGAGATAAAAATCCACTCACTGGAAAGACATGTCAACACGGTACAAAGGCTGGGCATGTGAACGGGGGACTCAGAGAAGAGGCTATAAAAGCAGAGAATTCCCCTCCTCCCCCCACCCCCAGAAAACCAACCTCAAATTATCTAAGAATATGTAAGGGATAAAATTACATTTGTACAAAAATAGATATTTAACTTTATTGATGCTTTAGATATTTTGCTTACCTTCTCTTTTTTTAAAAATTTATTTTTTTCTTTTTTTTAATGCTTTCTAATTTTTTTTTTTTTAAAGCTATGAGCTCCATAGCGAAGGCATCGGTATTCCTAAGTGTTGGGAATTTGCTAAAGCTATTGTTCGGTCTACCTGCTGTTCTCCCCTCCTGTTACGCCACCCCCACCCCAGAAAAGCACCTTAAAATAGATGCAGAAAGTCCCTCTTCTTGGGCTGCAGGGTTTGGCCTTGGAGACCACCAACTCACAGGGATGGGGACCGGGCAGACAGGCAGGTTCCAATGTGACACACTCGCTTTCATAAAGCAAACGAAAATATGGAGAGAAGAGTTAAAGTTTAAAAAAACCAAGAGCACAAGGGAACACTAAAGTGGGTATAACATATGTATATGTGAATGATACTTTATACAGTGTCTCTATCTACACTACATACATGTGTACACATACGTGTCTCCACTGAGCATGTCCCATGCGGTCTCATGCCAGGCCGTGCCCTTGCCCACCCACTGGTCCACCCTGGGGTGGGAAGCTCGGCCCACCAGCGAAGGGGCCCTGGAGGCAAAGAGGGGTCCAGCTCGCTCAGCATGGGAAAGGCTTTCGGAACCCTTTGGCTCTTTCCCACGGCAGGCGGATGCGAGAGCCACGCTGGAGGCCCCCGAGAGTCTCCAAGCGCTGGGCCAGCCCGTGCCCTGGGTCCAGTGCCCTTTTGCAATCTCTGCTCGCTCTGCGTGAGTGGGAAGCTTGCACAAACCTAGCAGCGCGAGATTCTGCAGAGCTCCCCCAAAATGCACCAAGTGCCTCCACAGACGGCAGTTCGGCCCATTCAGTCTGTTAAGAAAACCCGTGCAAATTAGGATATTTCAGCAAACCAGGCTGGGAAACAGGAGCAAGACTGAGCCCAAGCACGTGCGGTGATCCAAAGATTTTCCGGAGATGAATGCTCCTGCCCCGACCATCCGTGTGCTCCAGAAAGGAGCGTTTCACCAGTCCCTGAAAAGACGTCCCTCCAGACAGATCTGGATGGAACGGCTTTGCCTCTTGGAATCGCCCTCCTTGCCTGGCGCTGAGTGTGGAGACCCAGTCAAGAATCAGGGGTATAAATGCGCACCCCAGAGCATCTTGGTCCTGCCTGCCAGGTGCCCTCCAGGGTACCGGACGGCACCTTTCAGGTGTGCTGATGAGGTTGCCAGGAATTGCACTCCACACGCCCGCAGGCCCCAGCAAGGAAAGGCAGAGCCACCCTGCCAACGGCACGTGCGCTTTGGGCCCCTGGTCCCGCGCATGACAGCCGTGAGCAAGCGGGGCTGCGCCGGCCACGAGCGCCTGCCCCTGCCCTGCCACAGCCAGCTCTTCCGTGCTCTCTGTCACCCTCTGGTCTTTCCCTTGGAAAACACGAGGCTTTGCCTCGTTGCAAGTATTTCTGAGCCCAGGTCGCCATGCTTATGCAGCCAGTGTGTGGTTAGAATGATGATAATAAACGACGGCTCAGTTGTTTGGCAAGATGATGCAAAGGTCTCGGGAAGGGAGAAGAGCAGCCCTGCTGTGTGGAAGAAGATGCCACGAGTGGAGCTGGCTGGAGCCAGGGTCAGACTAGATGGCCCGGGAGACCCCTTCCACCTTGCTCTGCTTCTCTGTCTCTAAAATGGGAGGGAAGGAGGTGGCCGGGTGCTGTAAGGCCATGGTGGTGGGTGCAAAGTCCACAAGTCTTTGGCTGTCACATTTGCATTATTTGGGGAAGGTGCTGAGAACTTCCCATCGTAATTCTAAACATGATCCCTCCCCCTGTGCAAGGGGGGTCCTCAAAGGGTCTGGAACGCTGGAGTCTTCGAGTCCGCCAGCCCTGGACCTGTGATGTGCAAGCTCATGGGCAACTGTGGGTGCCTCCGGCTGACCGCCGCAGCGAGCATGGGAGCGCCCTGCGTGGCTCGCCCTGGGTGGGCACCCCCGGGAGCCTCCAGCCTCAGCCATGGCCCTCCTGGCCTTGACCCACACGACCAAGAACATCCTCTTTCTTTCAGCAGGTCACCCGGCCCCATGCTGTTTTTCTGGTTTCCTTTTGAGGAAAAGAAAGAAAAGCACGCATGGGCTTCCAGGGTGCTGCTACCAAGGGAGCACAGGCTTGTGAGTGAGTGGTCAGAACTCTGAGGGACTAGGAGCTTGATTTTGTCTTCCTGAGCAACCGCCTGTGAAGCTCTGCAGGCCCGAGACCTCACTCTGCAGGCGAACACGTCTGGGGGGCTGAAAAGCTGTGAGCTCTGCCCATACTTTTTGCTTTTTGTTTGAAGTAGACCCACACACGCAAAAGGTGCCTCTTGCATTCGAAACGGAAAAGAGCGCCATCTTCAGAAGAGTTTTCTGGAGCCTGTCAGAGTAGTAAGCTTCCAGGGCCAGATAATTTTCTCATTCATCCTTTCAGTACTGGGCAGAGGAAGAAGAGGAGGAGGAAAAATACTCCAGCTGAATGTCTGTCTGCCCAGGTGGTGTTGACATGAGAGACCTGGATTCTGGGACCACCGGCAAGGGATGGCATGTACCCCACCAGGGCTGGGGAGACGGTGCGTGGCCTCAGCAGGAGAGATTCTATCAGAAGGGCTTTAAATGGAATTCCATGAGGAGGGAGAAGAAAAATGGGGGCGGGGGGGGACAACAGACAGAGGCCTACGCAGCACAATGGGAAGGGCAGCTCTGAGTGCTCCCAATAATAGTCTTACAAAAATGTAGGAGGAAAGCTCTCTAGCACTTGGTCTCTGATTTCTACACACTCGAGCTCTGAGCATAAGAAACACACAGCCCAGGGCCGACGCAGCCTGAGAGGGGTAACTGAAACTGGGTGGGAATCATCAAATGAAGGCTATAGCTTGCTCAGGAAGACCAGAGCAGGGGTTGGAGTCCTGCTGTATGTTAAAGACAGATATCCCTGCAAGGAAGTACAAGAGGATGAGCTTAGCAGACCCAATGAGAGCATCTCGATCAAATTAAACAGAGCAGAGCATGAAGAGGACACGGGGGCAGCATCTACAAGTCACCCAGTCAAGGAGAAGATGCAGAAACGTCTGAGAAGCAAACTGCCAGTGTTTCAAGAAGTCACGATGGGCGAATTCCATGCCCCTGATATCTGCATTCCGGCCACCATGGCCCCAAGAGACTCCGAACATGCGTTGCTGGCAGCTTCCTCCTACAGTGAGTGAGGGTAGGAACTAGGGGCATGACTGCCCTTGGCGTGATTCTAACCAACAGGGAAGAGCCTGTGGACGAAGCAGCAGTCATGGTAACTCCAGGAGAAAGTGAGCACGCCTTAATTGAATTCTTGAGTCTAAAGAAGCAAAAGCTGAGAATACCCAGACATGTACCCTAGATTTTAGGAAAGCTGATTGTAATAAACTCAGAACAATAATAAGCAGGGTCCCATGGCCAACAACTCTAATGGAAAAGTGGTCCAAGATGGGAGGACATTTTGAAAAAAGGGAAATTATGAAGGCACAAGTACAAGCGATTTCCACAAGAAGAAAAGGGAGGCGACACCAGAGGAAGCCACTGCAACTCTACGGAAAGCTCAGAGGTGACCTGGAGACAAAAAGGGAAGTGGAAGGAAACCAGGCTGCACAGGAAGGGTGCAGATGAAGCACGTGGAGCTGCTGGGAAGGTGCTGGGAAGGCTATGGCTAAGAATGCGCTGAGGTTGGTGAGGGATGCCAAAAGCCCTCTTCAGAGCCACCTGCAGAGAGGACAGAGGAGAGCGATGGTGGCTCAGCGACTCGGTGGAGATGACGAAGCGGTAAGAGGGGACAAAGACAGGCGTGCTCAGTGCCTCCTTTGGCTCAATCGGCTCCGTAAGTGGGGTGTGACCACCCTGGCAAAGGTGACATGCCAGAGAAGGGTCAGGGTCGCATTTCGAGTTCTGGCAATGGTTTCAAGTACTCCTCAGTACTTGAAGCTAGACAAACTCTCCATGGCCCAATCCACTGCGCAAGAATCTCAGAGCCACTGCCTCTTATTTTGGAAAATCCTGGAGAACAGGGGAAGTGCCAGATGACTGGAGTTGGTCCAATGATGTCCCTGTCTTCAAAAACGGGAAAAGGGAAGAACCTGGGAACTACATGCTATGGAGTCTGACATAAGTGCCTGGGAAAATTCTGGAGCAGATTGGAAAGCAGTCAGTCTGCAAAGACCTTCAAAACAAAGTTGTGACGACTAGAAGCCAACATGGATTTGTCAAAAATAAATCCTGCCAGACTAAACTGATCTATTTTTTTTTTTTTTTTAAATCAGGTAACCTCCATAGTGGATCTTGGAAATGCTGTGGACATAATATATCTTGATTTCAGCAAAGCTTTTGACAAAGTGCCCCATGAGTTGCTCAAAATGGGCTACAATTTTCAGGTGGGTCTGCACTGGCTACGGAATCACGCTCAGAGTGCTCCTCAGTGGCACCTTCCCAGAGTGGGGAGAGGGATCAAGTGGGGGGCACAGGGCTCAGTCCCGGGCCTGGGCCTCGTCAACATTTTCATTAATGATTTGGATAAGCAGGTGATGGGAATGCTGATCAAATCTGCATATAATGCAAAATGTAATGAGATAGTTAATTCCTTGGAAGACAGAAACAAAATTCAAAGTGATTTGATTGATTGGAACATTGGACTGGAAACTGCAGAACTGAATGTAACAGGGGCAAATACCAAGTTCTGCACCTAGGAAAAAGAAATAACATGCATCGTTACAGCTGCTCAACCTACTAAAAGTGAGAAGGGCCTTGCAGTTGTTGAAGATCACGAGCTGAATATGGGTCAGCAATCTGATGTGACTGCAAAAAGGGCAAATGCTATTTTGGGCTGCATTCCCAGAAGCATCGCTTCCAAATCACACCCAGTCCTCAGCCTCCTCTGCTCGGCACTGGTGCGGCCTCCTCTGCAGCGCTGTGTCGTTCCGGGAGCCACAGTTCAAGAAAGATACATACAAGCCGGAAAGGTTCAGAGGAGGGCAACAAGGATGATCTGGGGGCTGGAAACAAAGCCCCATAAGGGAGAAGGGAGATACGGTTGCATGTTTCAAGGAAGGCTGGGATTGCTTCTCAGTCATCCCAGAGAGCAGGACTCAGACAGATACCAGGAAAAAATTCCTGGCTGTTAGAGCAGCACGAGGATGGCACTCGTGGCCCAGGGAGGCTTTGGGCTCTTGCACATGAGAGGCACTCAAGAGGCAGCCAGTCCATGGGGGTCCTGCACCGAGCAGGGCGCGGGTCTGCTTGCCGCCCGCCCCTTCCCACTCCGCTCTCCTGGGCTTCTCTGACCGAACATTCCACCTCGCCAGCATTTGCTTTTCCCCTCCGTTCCGCTAAACAGCGGGAGAACGACCATCCGCTGCAGCCAAGCCACCGAGACCTCCCACCGCCCCTGGGCACAGAACTGCCATGCATTGTGGGTTATGATACGAGCAAAGGTGGACCTCCAGCCTTGGCCGTTACAGATTTAAAACACTGACAAGTTCATTCAAATACTGAGAAAATGACATCTTTGGATGCTGGAAATGAAAAGAAGAGCGTAAAACCTGCCCTTCATGCCCACATGGAATTCTGACCCCACTGCACCCTGTTTCCCAGAAAGCCTTGTTCATAATTTAAATATGGCTCTAGCAGGATCCTGCTGAGTTGAATCCAAATGCATGAGATGATATCCAGAGTTTCAGCTGTGTGCTGTGAATGACGTGAACACATTGGCTTTTCTGCGTGTCCTGGCGGTGTGTGTGTGGGGGTCTGTGTGTATGCTTGTGTGTGCGCATGCACATGTGGAAAGGACAAACAAGGCCACAAACATGGGAGAGCTGGGCAGGACCCAAAATCTGCCTGTGCTGGAAAAGGGGTGCCGAGGTGCGTGGTGGGGGGTGACCACCGCACATTTGAAACCCACCGTCTCGACACCTGTGGAAGGAACCATGAACACCGATGCTCAGACACACGGAGACAGACGGCGTGGCAACGGGGCTGCGTCACAAGTTCACCGGGTGAGCGGCCCAGGGTGGGCCAAAGGAGGAGGCTTTTGCACCAAGGACAAGAGGTGGCAGCAGTGGAGCGGGAGGCGTCGTGGTGGCGGCGGTGGCAGGACAGGGGGCAACTCTTGCCAGAGGCCATCGTTTAAGTCATTTGGTGGGGAGCTTCCAGCATCTCCATCAAGAAGGTGTCGATCGGTGTGTCCCCTATTAGCTTGAAGAAGAAGAGGTGTTCCAGGCATTTCAGGCCGATGGACCGAAGGGCTGGGAGGCGGAGCAGCAGCTTGGCAAACCTGGAAAACGAGCGTGGTGTTGAGGACACAAAACGGGCCCAGGCAGGCGGCTGCACCGAGAGGGCTGAGCAGGAAGGCGGGGGCAGAGTGCCGATCTCCAGGTGGCTCGCAGTTGCTCATCCACCCGGTGCCTGCCAAGGCCTGCCATGCCCACTCAGTGACCCCGCCCCCCCCCCCCACACACACACCTGGAAGCCAGGCAGAAGGGATTCTGGGGAACGGCACAGAATCTGACCAAAGCTCGCCAGGGGCTCGTGGGGCAGCACGGCTCGGCCGCTGTGAGTCCTGGGAAAGCCAGGCTTGGTGGGGGCTGCCAAGCATCCCCTCACTTGGAGGGATGCTGCAAAGAAGCCCTCTTGGGGCAGGAAGTCATGGCAAGCCAGGGAGGCATTTCTACTTTGGGGCGGGTGCCGGGGGGCGGGGGGCAGGGCAGGGAGAGGATAAAGGCACTTTCTCTTTTTCACGCCTCATTCCTATACTGCACCTCCTCTGTGTAACTTATCATATGCCCATTCCAAAAAAAAAAAAAAAGGAGCAAACTCAAGAGCAGCATCGCTTTTTATGTATTTTGTCATTGCATGCAAAGTCTGTGTGATGTGTGAGGGACAGGAGAAACCTGGAAGCAACCCAATGGGTGAGCGCTGGCGAAGGGCTGTTCTTGCTCGCCTTTCGTTTCCCGTATGCTGAGCTGGCAAGACTTGTGGGAGGACGGCCAGGAAAATATAAACCAGACCCTGCCATTCTCTTCCCCCGCCCCTCCCTCCCACCCTCACCAATCAGAAAGTTCCACTTTTAAACAAAGGCAGATGATGGGTGCAGAGGAACACTGGAACCATGAAAGATCCAGCATGGGGGATAATTCAGCAGAAAGGTCAAAGGAGGGAGAGCTGCGGAGGAGCAGCTAAGTGCAGGATGGGTGGATGCTAACGGTCACGTAGCCACAGCCGGGCCAGAGGAGCTGGGTGGGGTGGCCAAGCTGGGACAGTTTTCCCTTGGAACTGTTTCCCTTTGGCCTCCCTTCCTGGAGGGAGGGAGTTCTTGAGTGCACAGACATGCCCTTGGCCAGCCGCTCAGCCGTGAGATGCAAACGCTGGATTTGCTCCTGGTTAGAATCAACCAGCAGCTGGGAAGCAGTGCTCTCCCCCATGTTTTGGCTCTGCCCTGCTGGAAGGTCCAACTCATCCTGTTCCAAGGGAACAGGACATGCCAAAGGATGGAGCCATGTCCAAAGCACAGAGCTGATCTGCCAGAGAAAACCAAGCCCTCTGTCTCGTTTTTCTTCTGTGGCACCGAGGACCGCAGAAGGTGCTCTGGATCCAGCGGAAGGATGCAAGGATTTTGTTGTTCAGCATGAAGGGTGACAAAACCAAATGCCCCTGCCCAAATGGCTCCCGCTGCTGAAGCGAAAACAGCTTGGGGTGACCACTAGGGAATCTGCCTGCTCTGCTCAGCTCGGGGATGCAAAGCAAATTCTTGGGCTCCTTTGAAAGAACCATGTGCAGCAGGCTCTGGCCAGCGAGTCCTGGGCTCCTCTAAAGTAACATTCAGAAAGACACTGGAGTCCCAATCCTCAGGTGAACTCCGTTCCTTCCGTTAGTGCTGCTACTGACATGGAAGCATGCTGCCCAGAGTGGAACATGACATGTGCCATTGACAGCACGTGTGAATGCTGGAAGCAGTGCGCTGAAGGGGCCCATGTGCGTTCACAGGCAGCGGGCTCCTCGTCTCCTCCCGTTAAAGGTCCTTTTACAAAGCTGCCACTGAAGGTTCAACATTCAGAGTGAACTGGGAGGAAGGGAGGGCTTCTCACCAAGCTAAAACACCTCAGAATCAGAAAGCAAAATCCATAAAGGTCACTGAAAGTTTGCAGTGCATTGCTAGGTTGACACTGGAGTTTGGTTCAGAGGGATTTTGGGGAGGGATGGGGGATGGGATTACTCCCTTAGTCAAAACTTCTGATGGATTTGGTGGGAAACCAAGAGAGCTCCAGTTTTGCAGCTCTCTACCTGTTTAGAAGGAGACAGCTTAAAATTTAAGGTCAGGATTGCATAGAACATAGAAACAGAGCAAGTTAGAAGGGTCTCCCAGGCCATCTAGTCTGACCCCTGGCTCCAGCAGGCTCCGCTCATGACATGCCCACCATGTGCATGTCCAGCCTCTCCTTGAACACCCTCACTGGTGGGACCTCAACCACCTCCTGGGGAAGCCCATTCCATACCCTCGGGGTCCTAACTGTCAGGAAGTGCTTCCTGGCATCTAAATGGAACCTGGGTTCCCTGAGCTTTGCTCAGTTGGAGCACGTCCTGCTTTCCTCTGCAGGAGAGAACAGGTATCTACCTTCCTGCGTGCGACACCCCCTCACATACCTGTATGTCGCCAACAGATCCCCTCTGAGTCTCCTCTTCTCCAGGCTGAAAAGACCCAGTTCCCCCAGTCTCGCCTCATATGGCTTCCCCTGCAAACCGGCCACCAACCTTGTGGCCCTACGCTGCACTGACTCTAACCTGGCTATATCCTTTCTGTAATGAGGGGCCCAAAACTGAACACAATACTCCAGTTGTGGGAGCACCAGAGTCATATAGAGTGGCAGTAATCCCTCTCTCGATCTAGAAGCCACACTTCTGGCTACGCAACCAAGGGTGGCGTTCGCCCTCTTGACCACCGCATCACACTGCTGACTCATGTTTAGCCAGCACCCCGAGGTCCCTTTCACAAGTGCTGCTCTCCAGCCACTTGTCCGCTAACCTGTACTTATGACACCCATTCCTATGCCCCAAGTGCAAGACCTTGCACTTATCCACATTGAACGCCATCCTGTTGTCCCCTGCCCACTTCCATAGTCTGTCCAGATCCGTTTGGATCTGGAGTACCTGCTCCTCAGTTGTGGCCACTGCTGAAGTTTTAGTATTGTCTGCTTGGCCGGAAATGTTTTGGTCTCCAAAGAAGTGATCAAAAGTCAAATGGTTGAAAGAGAAGAGAGTGTTTAGTCTGGAGAATAGAAGGTTCAGGAGAGGAGGAGAGCCACCTTCATATATTGGAGAGGTTGCCATGCACAAGCTGGAGCAGATGGGGTTTCTCATGCTCTGGATAGCAGGGTGGGGAATGAAAGGCAGATACTTCATGGGCGCAGATTTCTGATAAGCGTCAGGAGAGGCTTCCTGAGACTGCCTTGGCCCATGGAGGGTTCTCCATCACTGCAGGCCCGCCTCCTCCTTGAGGAGGACAAGCCAGATGACCTCTGGAATCCTGCGGCTGCTCCACAGTTCTGCTAGGGTGCAGCTTCAGTGGGTCATGGGGTTGACCCAGAAAGGCCGGGCGTCTGGCACACAGATGCAAAGAGTGAGCAAGTGGGTTTCCGAGCCTCTGTCGAACCTTGCAGTTGCTGCCTGACCCATGCTCAGAAACTCACCTCCCAGGCTGGTCAGGATACTTGTGCTTGCAGTAGGCCTCGAGTGACGCATACACCTTCTCACGCAGAGCCTCCACCTCAGCAGGATTGGAAAGCCCTTTCGAGTCTGGGAGGAAAGAAGCACCCCTGAGAGTGCAGGCCTTGGAAGCAGACCCAAATCTGGCCCCTGTGAACACCTAACTCCTCCTTTGATGGCCGCACCCCCCTTCCCATGACAATGTGGAGATTTCCCAAGCTTTGCACAGATTTTCCCCCCATCCCATGAGGTTGGAACACCTCTCCTAAGCTTAAGAACTAGCATTGGGAATGTGCAGCTAAGTTAAGCAGAGAGGTTTGACTGGAAAACTTTGCTTTTGGCTATGCCCATTTCTGGTCCAGCCACAACCAAAATACAGCCCCCAGCATCTTCCCCAAAATGGACTCTGATCCCCAGAAAGAAAGAACCTGGATCCCCAGTTCTGAGGCTTCTCAAGGACTGGAGTCACAAGCAGTTGAAGGAAAGGCCTGTGTGGGAACAGGCTCGGAGGGGCAGGCGTCACCCATTTTTATGCTGCCAAGGAAAGCATCCTGAGCTCCAGGCTGTGGCCCCGAGACCGTCTCCAGAGGTGGGCCAATGGCAGTGCTGCATCCATGCCCCAAGCCCCCATGGCAGGGTCCTTCTGCAGGGCAGGCAGCTGGAGAGGTCTGCAGCTCAGGGGACTGGGACCACTCCCCTCCCTCGGGGCGGAAACCTCCTTCCACAAGGACACTCCCCACAAGGAGCAGCGCGGCCTACCAGGGTTGAAGAGGACTATGGCTCGCAAGCACCCCAGCTCCGTCTTGTCCATCTGCATGTCCCGCATTTTTGACACGAGTTCTGTCAATACCCTGTGTGTGCAGAAGGAGCGGAGAAAAGTGCCTGAGCAGTGATCCAGAGGCCTTGCGTATCCCCGGGGCTGGCTGCACGGGCATGGCGGAAGGGCAGCGGGGGAGCCCAGGTCCACTGGGCTTGCAACAGCCTCTTCCATTCTAGTTCCTCTGCAGGGTTGTTCTTCCCAGTTGCAGTGGCATCCCTGACACCATGAGGACTAGACACAGCACTTCCTTTTTACCAAAGTGCTCCTATTCTTCGCCAGCCTAGACTGCAGCACAGCATTTGTGAGCCTTGGGGGTGGGGGTGTTCAGATAGGTTCAATAGGTCTGGGGAGACCAGAGAAGATGGGGGAGAAATGAAAGGAAGGTCTGCTTCCCTTCTGCCCTCGACCCCCCGCCCCCACAAGGAAGCTGGTGGGCTTTCCAACGCATGCAGCACCTCCAGGGAAGGGTCGGCCTGAGGGCCACTTTCTCCGCACCTGTCAAAGATGGCGCCAACCCCCGCGCTGTGGGCGCTGTTCCGGTGGACGTGGAGGCCAGTGGCGAGGAGGATGCCGTCCTTCACGGCAATGGACCGGTGAGAGAAGGAGGCAATCAGCAATTCATTCCAGCCTGGAGAAAATAAACCCAGGGGGCAGGGGTGGTTTGAAACCGACCTGACAGCACACGGGAGCCCTTGCCACAGCTGCGCTCGAAGTCCATGCTGGAGATGCTTCTCCCTGTATTTATATGAAATGTGCTGGACTTCCTGATCACCATTTAAGATTGCTAAATGCACTTTTGGACATTGCCTTGTTGAATACTTACACCATTTACTTAATCTTGTTAGGGTGACTTGTTATAGTTAAATCCCTCCTTCCAAGAAACTCAAGGCGGCTTATATAATTATCCTCCTCCTCCCAATCTTATCCTCACAACAACAGCCCTGTGAGGTAGGCTGGGCTGAGTCAGGGATGGGCCCAGTCACCCAGCTGGCTCCAGGGCTGAGCTGGGACTGGAACCTGCTTCTAGCCAGGAAAGCCCCCAGGCTCCCAGTTATCATTCTCGACCACAGTGAACAGGACCTGTTGTAAGTTGCAAAGTCGCGTCCGACCCGTCGCGACCCCATGGACAGCACTCCTCCAGGCCTCCCGTCCTCCACCACCCCCCGGAGCCCACCCAAGCTCACGCCGGCTGCTTCAGGGACTCCACCCAGCCAGCTCCTCCTCTGCCGCCCCCTTCTCCTTTCGCCATCTGTTGTTCCCAGCAGTTAACAGGACTACTTATGCCTTTTTATGTCAGTGAATGAATGGACTGTTACGATTAGATTATATGTGCGACTTTCCACATTTGCCTTTACCTAGGGTATTTTACTGGGAATCAAGGGCATGTTATAAAAGAAAACAAGGTGGACATTTGTAAGGAAGATTCAGGGTGGGGGCATAAATTGCACAGGGGGGCGCCTTCACGGTGCTCTCCATGGAGTCATTGGTCTCTGTTAGGCTGCCCTACAGTTCCCATTAATATTTGGATTCAGTGCCACATCTGCCCAGGGGTGATGCTGGTTGCTGACAAGCCTAATAGCAAATGGTAAATGCACGGAGCAGCCAGACCGCGCACAGGCTCTGCTGTAGGATCCACGCCTTTCAGGCCGGTGTCCGACGTCCCTCCCAGGCGGGCTTTTGCAACCTCGCTATTTATAAGCTGGTTGCAGTCATGCATCAGTGAGGCCAGCAGGGCGTGTGCCGCTGCTGGTGCATTCCCAGCTCCACGAACAACGCACGGATCTGTCCAGCAGGACCGGCAGGAGTGCCACCAAGCGTTTGGGAATGTGAGGATGGCTGTGGGGGAAGCCAACAGACCAAGCCAGCCTTTGAAAGGCTGCCAACCTCCTGCCGGAGGCTGGGGCAGGCGGCCTGAGGAAGGCTCAGATGAGGTCTTCCAGGTGAACTCAGCCTCGGGCCACAGCTCTTCCAGAAGTGCCAAGGAGGGAGGGATCTCCAGCAGCTCACAGCCGAGTTTCCAGCCTGGTCGGCCCCTGGCTCCGGGCTCTGCTGCCAAAAGAACCCGTTCCTGCTGTTCTAACGTGCTCCTGCCAACATCTCCTTGGAGTATAAGGCTCAATAAAGTATTTAGAAATCTCTCTTGGCTTTGGCAGCCAGAGAAATCTTGCTTGCATTGACTTGGCACCGGAATCATGTGCACGGAAGGGCTTGAAAGGCTCACAGCTGTTGCAGACATGCAAAACACACCTCCCTGCTCCCACCAGGACCAGCCCAGAATAACTGCTCAGGCCGTACCCAGCTGTTTTGCAGATCAGGCCCCACCATCGCTTTCCAGCTGCTCCAGGGCCCCAGCGAGCCGTCTGGGATGGCACTGAGTGCATGAGGTCACGGGACAGAACCCAAGGACTGGCAACTAAATAACCGGGGGCCCCCGGAGGGCTGCACTCAGCCTGCATGGTGCCGGGTGCCGAGCACAACGGCACGAGTGGTGGTGCCGTGGCTCTCCTGCCTGCTGCGCACGGGGGTTGGCCACTGTGGGAGGGAGGGTGGGGCAGGCGGGAGGCACCCCTGGCTCTGACCCGGCTCAGGTCTTAGGGTGGCCCTTCTGCACATGCGACCCTCGCTACACTTCTGCACATGTGGCAGCAAACGCTGCACGGGAAGAAACGTGGCGAAGTCATGCATCAAGCTTGCTGCATGAGCCAGCAATGTCTCGCCACGGCACGCAGGTGCGGTGTGGGAGAGGAGAGGCACAAAGGACCCAGAGCACGTGGGGGCGGCACGGGGCCCTGGATGCTGCGCAGGCACTGGGCCCTGACGGGTTGCGCCCGAGGGTACTTCGAGAGTCGGTGCGGGGAGGCCTCGTGGAGAATGGGTGAGGACTGGGGGGTGGCATCAGCAGCGCCAATTTTCAAAAAGGGTAGAAGAGGGGACAGGAGAAATTGCAGATCGGTTAGCCTTACGTCCTTTCTAGGCTCATAACAGAGAGAGATCTAGCGATGCTAGATAGGGAAAGGAGGCTGGCAGCCACACAACACGGCTTCCGCAAAAACAGGTCCTGCCAGACGAACCTTGTGCGATTCCATGACAAGGTTCTGAGGTGGCTAGCAAGAACCAAGACTCAAGTTGGATGCCAGGAATCACTTCCTGATGGTTAGGACCTCCAGGGTATGGAAAAGGCTTCTATAGGAGGTGGTTGAGGCCCCAATGATGAGGGTGCTCAAGGACCGGCTGGACACCGGTCAGGTACGCTTGTTGTAAATGGAGACGGCTGGAGCTGGAGGTCAGACTAGATGGCCCGGGAGACCCCTTCTGGCTTGCTCTGTTTCTATGTGTTCATGTTTCTATGACTAAATCGGGGAATGAGTCCAGATGTCTGGTGCATTCATTTCTCTTAGGAAACAAAACAAGGCCAGTCAGAATCCTCAAGTTCCGCCTCTCCACCGCACTCCTGCAGCTTCTCAGGGACGAAGCAATGCTGTTGCCCACCACCCTTGCCAAGTGCCCCAGTCCAGGTACTCCCCACGTGCCCCCTGAGGAGGCAGGTTTGCATTCAGGGTCGCCAGGCCCCGCTGCCCCTCCTCGCTGGCTTCTGAGGTGTTGCATCTCATGCTGTGAACCAGCCAAAGAGCTTTTCTGCTAGTGGGCAGTATACAAATTTAATAGATGAACAGATGACTCGAGAGAGTGCATACATGAAGCCACTGGCTCAAGGGCTCCTGGGGGGCAGGGAGAGCACCCTCCTGAGGAAGGCGCGCACTGCGGCGGGAGGGCGGCAGCGGCGGATGCCCCTGCAGGGCCCCCCAGAGGGCTTCGGGTGCAGGGCAGGCCCGGCCGGGCAGAGGCAGGCGGTACTCACCGGCCCTGAGCAAGATGACCTGGTCATCCAAGGGCAGCTCCGAGAAATGGGGGATCCTTTTTGCCCACTCCACCAGTGTGAAGAGCTGCTTGTCCGCAGCTTGGCAGATGTTGGTGACTGGGTCATTGGGCTGCAAAAGAAGGAGACCAGGTAGCGTTAAGCAGGCACTGCCCCCAAAGAGTGGGCACCCCACTCTAGCCACCACGCCTGCCCCACTTTCCCAAGATGAGGATAAGAGGGGGCAGAAAAGGCCAAAGGGGCAGCCCAGAATGGGGGCCCTTCCTCTGGGGCCGGGATCTCCCATGTGGAGGCACCTCTCTCGGGGCCTGCCAGGCCACCTGCAGCCCCGGCCTCCCCGTATCTCTCATGAGCCACTCTGCCTCCCTTCGTGGACTCAGAGGCCAGGGGGCTGCAAAATGGAGGGTGGCCCCAGCACCTGCTTCATTCAGGTTCCAAAGGGCTGCGCCTTGGGCCCCTCTTTGCCCCCCCGGGACACAGGTGCTTTGTGGCCAGCTGGGCAAGCCCCTTCCCCATAGCAGCCATTCTGCAAGCACCCACAGGAAGCAGGCAAAAATCCCAGAAAGGCCCACCAGCCCAAAGGGGGTGCAGTTCCATTTTTTCTAGCACGCTCAGGCGGGATGCAGAGAAAACCCTGAGGGGCCAGGGAAGTGGTCCAGCGCCCCCAGGCGAGCCCACCAAGACGGAAGAAGAAGGGAGATCTGCAGGCAGGAGGCAGGAGGCGAGGAAGGCTCCCTCCCATGCTGCTCCTGCAGGGGTCACTCTTACCAGGGCTGTTCCCCCGCGTTCCTGCCCTTCACTGAGCCCAGAACAATGGGGGGCAGGCAGAGGGGGCATCCCTGTTGGAGCACGGCCAACTTGAGAAGAGGGAGGCAAAACGAGGACTTTGCGGGACACTTGGTCGAAAGGGGCTGAAGGCATGTGCCCAGAGATGCTGCTCGTGGCCCAGAGAAGGGCACCCGGGTGAGGACTGCTGGCCACAGATGGGGGGCTCTTAGGAGGACGTGATGAAGCCCCCTTAAGCACGGGTCCTCCAACTACGGCCCACGGGCTGGATCTCCGAGCGAGTCCAAAAGCGCTGAGCCGGTGCAGGCGTACTCGGTGGGGAGATGGGGGTGACTGGGGGCACGCTCGCCCAGAGAAGACAGGTGCGGTCCCCGTCGTGCGGGGGGGGAGATGGCCGAGATCGGGCTGGGAGGGAGATGGCCGCACTTGCACCCGCCTTCCCTGCACAGTCATGCTGGGGAGGAGGGGGAGATGGCCACAAGCACAGGTGCACCCGTGCAGGGAAGGCGGGTGCGAGCGCGGCCATCTCCCCCTCCCCTCGGAATGGCCGCGATCGCACCCGCCTTCCCTGCACGAGTGAGATCATGCCCGTCTCCCCCCCCCCCGCCCCCAGTATGATTGTGGACACTGTAGCTCTGTCCCTTGAATATGGACATGCTCTACCACACCTCATCTTGGGCTTCTGCTGCACCCCGAGGGAGTGGAGCGAACATTTTTTAATTTTGAATTATGTTTAAATTGTACTTAATTTTTAATTTATTTTTATTTCACTTAATTTTATATTTATTTAAATTGTACTTAATTTTTAATTTATTTTTATTTATTTTATATTATTCAAATTTTACTTAGTTTTTAATTTATTTTTATTTTATTTTTTTAAAATTTTAATCAACTGTTATATTTATATTTATTTATATTTATTTTTTAATTTTAATCAATTTTTATATTTATTTTAATTTTACTTTATTTTTAATGTGCAGTGTGCATAGGAATTCATTCTTTTTTTTTTTTTTTTTTTTTAAACTTTAGTCTGCACCCCCCGTCCGCCACCAACAGTCTGAGGGACAGTGAACTGGCCCTCTGTTTAAAAAGTCTGAGGACCCCTGCCTTGAGGGTACAAATTCATAAAAGGCTCTGGACCTCCATAAGGGCCACATCCCAGCGCCTGAGGTAGCACGTGCTCAGCTCTCCACCTGCTTGCAAAGCCACGAATGCAAAGGGCTGTCCGCGGCTGGGTAGTGTCTGGCTGGGCTCTGGATCCCGCGGGGTCTGCCTCAGCCGAGGTGCACAGGTGCATGCCGCGAGCCACAGGTGGCCTCCCAGCACCCCCCACCCCCCCACCCCCCAGCACCCCCCACTCCCAGCCAGTGCCAGGAGGCAAAATCCTTCCCTCATTTCCACCCTCCCCTGAGAAGGGGGAAACATGGGAACGGGTTCCTGGCTGCCCCCAGGGAAGCCCCACCTGGGGCGGGCAGAGTAGGGGCCCGCAGTTGTGCACAGGGAATGCAAAAGGATGTGTGACGACTCACACTCAGCAAGCATGATGGTGAATGTGCACGTGTGCCTGACCGCATGCATGCACGCACGGGAGCATGTCTGTGTGTGCCAAGATGGGGGGCTCGGCCCCCCATCTGACTGCTGAGGGGGCTCCGGGCTCAGACACATGTGCACATAGGAATGTGTTTTCTAGTAAGTTCATATTTTGTAAGAACATCTTTGTGTAAAATACCAGAAAGTTTTAAAAAATCTACAAGGCCGTTCATGTGACTGGCATGATGCTAGTCAGCAGCAAAATCTGTGGGCGAAATTTTAGATATCCAAACTGATTTGAATCCATTTTGGATTCCTCAGACATACTTTTGGATGGTGCTGTCCATCGGGCCAAAATCTTTAGGAGGTGCCTCCTTCAATGCTCAGATCCATAGAAATATAGAAACAGAGCGAGGCAGAAGGGGCCTCCCAGGCCATCTAATCTGACCCCCGCCCGTCCTTGAACACCCTCACCGATGGGGCTTCAACCAGCCCCCGTGGAAACCCCTTCCATGCCCTTGGGGTTCCCCCCATTCTTCCTGCCTCTCACAGCCGGGACAGCATCTTCCTTTGACAACACTTTGGCAGGACCACTAGGAAATGACATTCCATTTCAGAGCAGCCACAGGGGGGCGCATCCCAGTGCTGGGGGGGGCCAAAGTCAGGGGGTTGGGCTGGGGCCAAAAGGGGTGGAGCCAGCCAGACCCAAATGTCAGCCCATTTTCCTTAGAGCCCTTCCAGCCACTCTGAGCCGCAGCCCTTCAGGAGGGAGAATAAGCGGCACAAGGCCACTCGAAAGATGGTGTGGCCAGCTGAGGAATCTGGAAGGTCAAACCAGGATTCCTGACAGGGTACATGCCTGTGACTCCCCAATCTTGCGCTAGCAACTTGTCCAATTATGTCTGTGGTTGGCTGGGGACCACCAGAAAAAGGTGCTGAGGCAGTTTCCTCACCGAATTTGGAGTAAGGCCCATGTTTGCTTCAATGTACGTCTCGGTCTTTGGCTCCACGGCGAGTTCCGCTTCCAGAATCTTCTCCACAGGCATCTCCTCGTTTGCATTGCTCGTCGACTCCACCTCATTTTCGTTGCGATCTTTCCCTCGCTGCCGTTCCTCTTGCACAGCTGGAAACACCCATGGAGGGGGAAAGGAAAGAAAGATTAATCCAAGGCTCTCTGTGGCTCTTGAAGAAGGATTTGGGGTTCTCCAAGTTGGTGGGCCTCCAGATCTTTGTTCTAGCAAACAGAATTAATGTGAGTGGCTATATGAGAAGATCAGCATTGGAGCTCGAGTGTTTATTGAGTCAATTTCCATTGATTTAGAAAACGGGGCTCACCCACTATTTGGGTCAAGGGGCATATCTGTTGCTGGTGTTACAGGCACTCTCGCAAAATGGCTGCCAAGGAGGGTCCCTGCCCTTTCCAATGGAACTGAGTGCCATTCTTCTTGAGAGACAGGTCAGAAACAAATCAGATCAAGCAATCCATAAGCTATTCACTCAACACCCATTTGCCAGAAGGAAACCCAGGAAAGGCTAGACAAAAGCAATGTGCCCAAGAACCAGAGTCAAGGGTCCAAGTTCTGAATCACAGGACTCCTCTTGGGAACCCACCGGTAGCAAACTCATGAGCAACTTGCCAAGAAGGTGAGACGCAGAGTGCAAAGCCCTGGAACGCGAGTGAACAAGGTTCTAGCAGGCAACTCCTCCCTCGCAGCAGGCCAGCTTTCTGGTTGTGGCCGTGTGTGTGTGTGTGTGTGTGTGTGTGGTGTGTGAGTGTGAAGTAATGATCTCAATCTTCAGTAATATCAGGAGAGGACGGGGAGTCCATCAGACACCACTGCTGTCCACAGGCACCACGCTGGGACACTGGGTGTTGCGTAAGCTGGAGTCCACCATCTGGACAAGGGCACCACAGGGAGAGCTCTCCAGCTAATGTGGAATCCTGTCCAGGTCATGGATGAAAGGCTTCCTCTCGGCTGTTGCAGGGACTTGGTGCAGGCAGCAGGCCAGGCGAGGAGCGGGGGCTGTGGCAGAGCGTTACTGGCCCTGCACTGCAGCCATCTACTGAATGCTGCTGGTGCCAAAGCGGGGAGGAGAATGCCGGAGAGACGAGGCCTCCCAGGTGCTCTCCGTGGCTACACCAGGGCCTGGCTGTGGTCGGGACCAGCAACAGAGGCAAACAGTGTGGACTGCTACAGAGCCAGCCTGCAGAGGTGAGTGCCCAGCCTTCTCTCAGCCATGCAGAGTCTGCCGTCCTGCTAACCACTTCTCCATCTTCGGCAGGCCGACATGCGCCGATTTGCACAAATGCACATTGCTGCCCTTTGCACAAGTGTGTGTTCAGGCCAAGGGCACTTGCGCAGTGGCACAAGCAGACTAACATCCTAACTCTCAAGGCCCTTTCAGCTCGCCAGGTGCCCCGGTGGCCTCATCCCCTTGATCTGGCCCAGCCCACGCCCCAGCCCCTGCAAGTTCCCCACGAACACATGCACCGGCCCTCCCCAGCGAGCGAAGGGCCCTTCGAAGGCTGGGTGGCCAGCAGTGCGAGCGTCACACGGGCACTGGAGTGTCCGCCCCCTCCCCTTATGCGCTTGTCTCCACCTGGGTTGGCAGCAGAGGGGACTCATTCCGGCCCCTGGGCTTGTGCCTGCATGCTGCCCTCTGGCAAATGCTCCAGCTCCTCTAAGCACCCGGAAGACGCCCTTCTCGTGAGGAGGGCCGTCGGCCTGCTGCGCACGTGCGCACAGAAGTGGAGCATTCTGTGCATGTGCCCCAGAGGGCTCTCTGCTCATCAGAAGGGGCCCTCATTAATCACAAAGGCAGCCAACTTGCTGGGTAATTAGCTCAGAACCCAGGCCAGGCTATTGACCGAAAAGGCATTTCCTGTCAAGTTCAGCACAGCAGCTGCTAACAACTCCGCACTATCTGCTTTAGCTCAGGAAAGTCGCAGCCTCGGGTGGGAGGGACACCGAGATGGGGCGGCAGCTAGAGCCGCTGCATGGATTTCGAAGCATACAGAAACACTAGTGAAAAATCTCACACTGGAGCAGAGAAAAACTTTGACGGGACAAGTAGATCTTCAAATTGTTAAAAAGGTTAAATATCTGGGAATTTTTCTTACAGCTACCGTACTACATGAAAGAAGATAACTATGATAAACTCTCCTTCATGGATCACTGCCTTGTTTGCCTTGTCGTGGCGAAGGGGCTTGCGTAGCTCAATGAAGCTATGAGCTGTGCCATGCAGGGCCACCCAAGACGGACAGGTCACAGCAGAGAGCTCTGACAAAACGTGCTCCACTGGAGAAGGAAATGGCAACCCACTCCGGTATCTTTGCCATGAAAACCCCATGGACAGTCCCAAAAGGCAAAACGATATGACACCGGAAGATGAGCCCCTCAGGTCGGAAGGTGTCCAATATGCTACTGGGGAAGAGCAGAGGGCTAGTACTAGTAGCGCCAGAAAGAATGAAGCGACTGGGTCAAAGCCGAAAGGACACTCAGTTGCAGATGTATCTGGTGGTGAAAGGAGAGTCCGATGCTGCAAAGATCTATACTCCATAGGAACCTGGAATGTAAGATCCATGAATCAAGGCAAGCTGGACGTGGTCAAACAAGAGATGACAAGACTGAACATCAACATCTTGGGAATCAGTGAACTAAAATGGACAGGAATGGGTGAATTTAATTCAGATGACCATCAGGTATACCACTGCGGGCAAGAATCCCTCAGAAGAAATGGAGTAGCCTTCATAGTCAAAAAAAAGAGTAGGAAAAGCAGTCCTGGGATACAATCTCCAAAATGACAGAATGATCTCAGTTCGAATCCAAGGCAAACCATTCAACATCACAATAGTCCAAGTCTATGCCCCAACCACTGGTGCAGAAGAGGCTGAAGTTGACCAGTTCTATGAAGACCTACAACACCTTCTAGAATTAACACCCAAAAATGATGTCCTTATTATCATGGGGGACTGGAATGATAAAGTAGGAAGCCAAAGGATAACAAGAATAACAGGCAAGTTTGGTCTTGGAGAACAAAATGAAGCAGGGCACAGGCTGGTAGAATTTTGTCAAGAGAATTCGATGGACATAGCAAACAGTCTCTTCCAACAACCCAAGAGACGACTCTACACATGGGCATCACAAGACGGTCAACACAGAAATCAGACTGACTATGTGCTCTGCAGCCAAAGATGGAGAAGCTCTATATAGTCAGTAAAACCTAGACCAGGAGCTGACTGTGGCTCAGATCATGAGCTTCTTGTTGCAAAATTTAGGCTTAAATTGAAGAAAGTAGGGAAAAGCACTAGGCCACTCAGGTATGACCTAAATCATATTCCTGATGAATATACAGTAGAAGTGACAAATAGATTTAAGGAATTAGATCTGATCAACAGAGTGCCTGAAGAACTATGGACAGAGGTTCACCTCATTGTACAAGAGGTAGCAACTAAAGCCATCCCAAAGAAAAAGAAATGCAAGAAAGCAAAATGGCTGACTGAGAAAGCTTTACAAATAGCTGAGGAAAGAAGGGAAACGAAAGGCAAGGAAGAAAAGGAAAGATACACCCAATTGAATGCAGAATTCCAGAGAATAGCTAGAAGAGATAAGAATGCCTTCTTAAATGAACAGTGCAAAGAAACAGAAGAAAACAATAGAATAGGGAGGACCAGAGATCTAGTCAAGAAAATTGGAGATATGAAGGGAACGTTTCATGCAAAGATGGGCATGATAAAAGACCAAAATGGCAGGGACCTAACAGAGGCAGAAGAGATTAAGAAGAGGTGGCATGATTACACAGAGGAACTATACAAGAAAGAGCCTAATGTCCCTGATAACTATGATGGGGTGTTCACTGACCTTGAGCCAGACATCCTGGAATGTGAAGTCAAATGGGCCTTAAGAAGTCTGAGCAACAACAAACCTAGTGCAGGACACAGTATTACAGCTGAGCTATTCAAAATCTTAAAAGACGATGCAGTAAAAGTGCTACACTCAATATGCCAGCAAATTTGGAGAACACAACAGTGGCCACAGGATTGGAACAGGTCAGTTTACATTCCAATCCCAAAGGAGGGCAATGCCAAAGAATGTTCGAACTACCACACCATTGCACCCATTTCACATGCTAGCAAAGTTATGCTCAAAATCCTACAAGCTTGGCTCCAGCAGTATGTGGACCGAGAACTACCAGAAGTACAGGCAGGATTTCGAAGAGGCAGAGGAACTAGAGATCAAATTGCCAACATGCACTGGATCATGGAGAAAGCTAGGTTGTTCCAGAAAAACATCTACTTCTGCTTCATTGACTGTGCTAAAGCATTTGATTGTGTGGACCACAACAAATTGTGGCAAGTTCTTAAAGAAATGGGAGTCCCAGACCATCTTATTTGTCTCTTGAGAAACCTACATGCGGGTCAAGAAGCAACAGTGAGAACTGGACATGGAACCACTGATTGGTTCAAAATTGAGAAAGGAATTCGGCAAGGCTGTATACTGTCGCCCTGCCTATTTAACTTATATGCAGAGCACATCATGAGAAAGGCTGGGCTAGATGAATCACCAGCTGGAATTAAGATTGCTGGGAGAAATATCAACAACCTCAGATATGCAGATGATACCACTCTCATGGCAGAAAGTGAAAAGGAACTAAAGAGCCTCTTGATGGGGGTGAAGGAGGAGAGTGCAAAAGTTGGCCTGAAACTCAACATTAAGAAAACTAAGGTCATGGCATCTGGTCCTCTCACTTCCTGGCAAATAGATGGGGAAGAAATGGAGGTAGTGACAGATTTTATTTTCATGGGCTCCAAGATCACCGCAGATGGGGACTGCAGCCCAGAAATTAAAAGACGCTTGCTCCTGGGGAGGAAAGCTATGGCAAATCTAGACAGCATACTAAAAAGCAGAGACATCACCTTGCCAACAAAAGTGCGTACAGTCAAGGCTATGGTTTTCCCAGTTGCAATGTATGGCTGTGAAAGCTGGACCATAAGGAAGGCTGAGCGCAAAAGGATTGAGGCCTTTGAATTGTGGTGCTGGAGGAGACTCCTGCGAGTCCCTTGGACTGCAAGGCGATCGAACCGGTCAGTCCTAGAGGAGATCAACCCTGACTGCTCTTTAGAAGGCCAGATCCTGAAGATGAAACTCAAATACTTTGGCCACCTGATGAGAAGGAAGGGCTCCCTGGAGAAGAGCCTAATGCTGGGAACAATAGATGGCAAGAGGAGGAGGGGGCGGCAGAGGAGGAGGTGACTAGATGGAGTCACTGAGGCAGTTGGTGTGAGCTTGAGTGGACTCCGGGGGATGGTGGAGGGCGGGAAGGCCTGGAGGAATGCTGTCCATGGGGTCGTGATGGGTCGGACATGACTTTGTGACTAACAACAACAATAACAATGATAAACTACTTAAGGAAATTAAGAGTGATCTGGAAAAATGGGCTAATTTGCAACTATCGTTGTTGGGAAGAACAGCAATAGTCAAAATGAATATATTACCAAAGTTCTTATTTTTATTTCAAACAATTCCCATAAAAATTGATAAAAATTATTTTGATGATCTAAACACCATGTTTTGAGATTTGTATGGCAAAAGAAGAAACCAAGGATTAGATTAAAAATGCTTCAGGAGGTCAAAGGGAATGGGGGGTTTTGGTCTGCCTGACTGGATGCTGTACTATCAAGCTTCTGTCTTAACGTGGCTAAAAGAATGGATAATGTTAAAAAATAAGAGAATCCTTTATCTTGAAGGGCATGTTCTACAAATGGGTTGGCACGCTTATATGTGGTATGAGAAGTGTAAGACACATGCTTGTTTTTTAAATCATTATATTAGAAAGTCATTATGTCGGTGTGGGAAAAATTATAGACAAAACTGTACACTAAGTTGCCAAGATGAATTTCGCCTATGGAAGCTCTTGCATATCCAAACGCATTGAATTTTGATATGATTGTGAAATATGATGATATTTTGGATAATGATGGAGGATTGAAATTGAGCCAAGAATTACAAGAGCAGGGTATTAAGATCTCTTGGTGGCATAAGGTTCAAATACAATCGAGATATGTTAAAGATAATAAAATGTGGGGTTTTCATAAGGAGTTAACAACATTTGACCAAGTGATCTTAAAATCAGATGAGAAATTGATTAAAAAACTGTATAATTTTCTTTTGGATACAAGAATGGAAGATGAACAAGTTAAGGAAACTATGATAGCATGGGCACAAAATTTTGGATATAATGTTGAGTTACAGAAATGGCAAAAGTTGTGGGAAAGAAATATCAAGGTAACTTTAGCAACCTCATATAAAGAAAATCTCTATAAAATTTTTATAGATGGCTTGAGGAAATGTTCCAAAAATCTTTAATGAAGTTTTTTTACTAGGCAGTGTACCTGATGATGTTGATAAACAAGCTATGTATTTGATTTTACATGTAATTACTGTGGCAAGGATTGCATTTGCCCAACATTGGAGGAGTGAAGAACCACCCACTGATGAACTGATTTTAAAAAAGATTCTGGATTGCGCTGAAATGGACAGACTGACTTTGTCTCTGAAGGAGAAAGAGGATACATCGATCAAACATGGAACTCTTTTTATCACTGGCTAGAGAAACAGGACTATGCGTAGATTTGAATATATTTACAAACTGTTATAAAAAAAATATGAGGGGCTGACCCAGCAGGTCTGATGTTTCCGATGATTGATGTTTCTTAGTTTGTAGAAAATAATAATAAAATTTATTCAAAAAGAAAGAAAGAAAGAAAGAAAGAAAGAAAGAAAGAAAGAAAGAAATGTGCAGAAATCAGGCTGGAGAGCAGGGGCAGAATTTGCAGATAGCAGCAAAATCAGAAAGAGGGGAAAGCACAGAGGAGGACATGTTGCACCTGCAAAACAAAAACAAAACACCCGGTGCTGCTTTGGCTGGCAGGATTTCAGAACGACGTTTTCAAAAGTGAAACTGCGCCCTCCTGAAACAGTGTTTTGCTGTAACATTTGCCAGTCATAGTTTTAGCATCTCTAATGTGCCCACTTTTATTGCTTCGTGGCCCCCTCACTCGGAATGGTCGTGCCCACCGCCATGAGCGCCCTTTTAGCAGCGACAGCAGAACAGAAACGCCGAGAACGAGCTCCTGCGCGGAACAGTTCCCGTGTGGGGTGAGCGAATGGCCCCCTCCTGTGCCCTCGCCCTCCCGTGGGCCTCCCCTCCAAGGATCACCATCATTCCTTCCAGATCAGCGTGGGACCACTTCGCTCCCCCCGCAATGCCCTTGCCTTCCACCCTCCGGTGCTGCCGAAAGCACTGGCTTGCACTGGCCCGGCCCAGCGGGGCAGCCGCATAGCAGGAGGCTGTGGGCATCCCATCATCCTGCGCCTTGGGCTTGAAAAGCACGGGGGAAGAGCGATGGCTGTGAGGCAGGCGCTGGCGGGGGTGGCAAGACTGAAGGCACAGGCGGCACGCACCACAAAAAAGCACATGGAATATGGCGCCTGAGTACCTTCCGCAAACCAAGCCAGGCGATCTGAAAAGCCAACATGCTCACAAGCAATTGGATGCATGGATTCATAACATGAGAAGACAACGGCTGGCATTTCTGGGCCTCTGTAGCCCCACCCCTCTGCCCGTGGCCCCTCCCTCCAGGGCTCCCATGAAATTGCTTTTGGCCCTTGGGCTGGAAGAGTGGAAGGGCTGTTGTGGCCGGAACAGTTAACACCTGTAATTTAAAGCAAAGCGGCACTGAGCACCCAGATGCGAATTCTGAGCCCAAACCTCCAGCCTGAATAAGTCATGCAAATGTCTGCATGTCTTTCCCTAGGCCTTCCCTGCTCGGCTTGCTCAGCACAAGAAGGGGTGCATGAAAGCTCTCCCACCCAGCACCCTAAGGAGCTGTCCAGCACACCCCTGGATATGCAAGCACGTACACCGAGGGCTGCAGGCCCGGGGCGGGAGGTCGTGTGGCGACCCCCTCGGTAGATGGGAAGGTGAGGGGTGGCGGGGGTGCCGGGCACACGCTCTGCTCACAAGCAGCCGCATCACGCGTACAGCACTGGCTGCCCAGGAGGGAGGAGGGGTGTGGCTGTGCCTTCCTCTGGATGGGGATGAAGGTTCTGCCCCCTCCACAGGGGGGTTCCCAGCTCCCCCCCGCTCTTATTTTCATCCCAGCCCTCCTCAGACACCTGCGGTTTGGAGCAATCTGGAAAGCGGCATCAGACATGATGGAGTCCCAGCTTTGGGGAGTTCACTCTGAGCAGGGCAAAGTGTGTTTGCGGGGGCTCGGGGCACCCCACGGTGCTTCTCTCTCCCTTGCTTTTTGCAAGCATTACTCTGTTTGCACCCAGGGGAACACGGCAACACAATCAGATGGGAAACATGCACCAAAATTGGCTAAAGTGTGAAACAGCATTGTTTTCAACTGTGCACTTTCAAATAGTTTTCCTCTGAAATTTGCCCAGTTTGCAAAAACAAGCACACACTGGAGGATTTTGGGCACATTTGTGAAGAACATGTTCTCTCATTTGTGTTCACACAGGAGGCTGAAATGCAGAGCTTGTGTGTCCTTTTTGTATGTGCAAAAGAATTCTGCATACCTTCCTATTCCAGAATGGGTTCTTTCCCTGTCTCTGAAGGGAGCTGTGTGGCTTCCAAGCAAATGGCAGGGCTCCCAAGAGGAGAAAAGGGGGCCTTGATGGAGCCCGGGAGGACTATTTGCCGGACTTGGGGCGTGGCCTAGGTGGGAAGGGCCACTGCCCGCCCGCACTTCAACTCTGGCCTGCCACCACATTTCTGGAGAGATCAACATGTTTTGCTGCTTAATGGCTGGTCTAGTAATATCGAAATGGGAATACCTTGTTCTTCCTGCCTTCCAGGGAGTCTTGTGGGCCGGGATGGATGGTGCTCCATCCCTGTAATAGAGTAAAAATTTTGAAATGAAACATTGTTGTAATAAATTTTGTTGCTGCTTTAGTACTAGGATTATTAAAATTATGATGAATTTTGACAGCACCATAAGCATACCATGGCGCATGTGTGGCCAAAAAGTGATCTGTTCCAAGAAAAAGGGCCAGGGCTTGGACTCTTCCCTAGTTTATAAAGTGTTCTTTCCCTGCCTTGGTCACCTGGAGTCAACTCTCAACTCACCATGGGTGAGTAGCAGTTTGCAAGACTGCACTCTTGTCCTTCTGATCCAAGACACCCCTTTTTACTACAGATGAACATTTAGAGAGATTTACTACATACTTTAAATGAAAATGTTATGCATCTCACCCTAGTGGGCAACACTGAGGCCAAATGAGCTCCACAGCTTCTATTCCAGAGGCCAATTCCTGCTGAGGGGCAGCTGAACAACACTTGAACTGGACGAGGCACAGGCCGCCTTTCAAACATAGGCCACTTGTCAGTGAGAAGGGCCAGCAGAGAGGCTGGGGTAGAGAACCCCTGGCCAGGGGAACTAGGTCCTGGGACATCTTTCCCATGACATCATCTTCTTGCCTCCTGCCCAGTGCCCCCTCTGGCATCTCGGGCAGAGAGAATCTGGGTCCTCCAGTCCACAGGGTTGCCAGGAACTCAGAAGCCCCCTGGATGCATCACGCCTTGGCCACTCAGTCAAAGCCAGGGTGAGAGGTTGAGTGACAGAAACCCCCTGCAAAAGTTCCAAATGAATTCAGATCTCTACAACTCCACAGGTTCCACAGCTGACTTTTTCTCCCCCACACAGATTCTGCAGATGCTCAGAGTGCTTTTCCCCTTCTGGGGGTGGTGGGGGTGGTGGGAAATTAACGCTAGTGTGCATTAGTGCAAGGGCACTAATGCATATTCTGTGCACATGTCTAGTAAATCACGCACATGTGCCTATGTGTGCATTGGTACTGATGCAAATCAGTACATGCAAAATGTGGGCAAAAACATCAACTTCCATCAACAAATGAATGAGAGAATGGGAAGCACCTGACAATCTGGGAAACAAACAAGTTAGAGGGAGTAGAACCTGTACATCGCTAACTGGCGCCCAGAGGGGTCTCAATCACATCTTCTCTGAGTGCGATGGAGCAAAGTTGTCCCCAGCATCTGCCGGAGCATGAGAGATGAGCAGGGGGCTGGACGGCCAAATGATGCTCCTGTAAGAGTGGCCGCCTAGGGAGCTGCCCATAATTCTCCAACCTTGGGAAGTCACAGGGTTCCATCAAGGGCAGACGGACTACAAAGCTCGGACCACCTCCGTGCTCCACTCAGCCTCCGAAACAAAAATGGCCGTTCAGTGTTGGAAACTGGTACCTGGACTAGGTAGAATTTGTAAAGGATCCAACAATGACTCACACATGAGCTCAATCTATGCACAAAGGACACAGATCTCCTGCCTTGATGTACTGTTCTGGTGGCCACGCCTAAAAAAAGGATATTGTAGAGTTGGAAAAGGGGCAGAAAGCAGCAACCAAAATGATCAGGGGCTGGAGCAACTCCTGTATGAGAAAGGGTTAGAACAGCTGGGGCTGTTTAGCTTAGAAAAAGGCAGCTGAAGGAAGGTATCACGGGGTGTAGAGAATGATGCACCTTGTGAAGAGATTGGAAAAGGGGTCCTTTTTCTCCCTCTCTCATTATCCTAGGACCAAAGGGGTCACTCCTTGAATCTGAGTGGTGGAAGATTCAGCACAGACAGCAGGAGGGAAGGGGGAGGTCAGCTAAAACAGTTGCTTTGCACGCAGAAGCCCCAGGTTCAAACCTGCAGGGCAGTGAAAAGGCGGTTCCCTGTATATGAGTGTGCAGACTTATCTAATTTTGCACACTTAGACCACTGCACACACTGCGTTACCCCTCAAAATCTACTCATCTCCAAATTTTGCAGTGGAGTTCTAAAAAAGGCCTGTTATCAAGGAAATGCATGCTCAAAACTATATTCTGTCAGGAAAATCACCTGCAAGATGACTGTGCTTTCGGCAAAAAAACCATACAAGAATGCACAGGTGACAAGACTTTCAGTGGGTCCTGGAACTTCTCCTGTTGACTGAGCCACATGTTTGCATATTTTTGTTTGCAAGTGTTTGTATATTACACAAAGTTGCTACATTGCTAGGCTTTAGAGCTTTGTAAACCTCCTGAAAGGCTTTGGCTGTTGTGCTGGTATAGAAATTTAAGGAATGAATGGAAGCACCTGGAGAAGTTTTGGGATGCCCTGAACCAGAGATGAGAGAAATGTTCCAAGTTCAAGAAGAACTGGACTCTAGGGGGAAGACGCCTCCTTTCAAGCACTGACTGCATGGGAGTCCTTCCAGCACTTCTGGAAGGAGCAACATGCCAGGCTGGGGAGGCCGTTGCCTGGAGGCAGGAAAGCTCCTCCTTGGATTCGCCTCCCAAGCCAGTGTGGATCCCTCCCAGACACTCTCCCTTCCCCAGCCTCAAACATCCATCATATCTGAAGCCGCCTCCACATGTCCCAGAGGAAGAGCCGGGCTCAACGTCTCAAAAGGTGGCAAGCGCAGGCCCTCGCGTGACCTGGTAAATCACGCCTGCTGGGCTCGGCCTGCCCTTGCTGGGCTTCTCCCGGCCCCGTCACAAATCGGCTGGGTGAGGCAGAGAAGAAAGATGAGGGCGATGCCAAGGCACGGAGGATCTCGGTCCAGCGGGGGGGCAGCGAACAGCACTAACTTTGGGCATGGGGTCAGTTCCTCCGCCCTCCCGTCTGCAGGCTCTACCTCTCCCCCGAGCAGCCTCGTGACGTGGACCAGGCCGAGAAAGCCAAGCTGGCAAAGCGCAGCAGTGAGCAGGAGTCCGGCCTTCCCTGGGCACGGCTGGCGCGCCGTCCACGGCTGGCTGCCACATGCGGTTCACACCCCGAGGCCTTCCCTGCCTCACAGGGTGCTGCTTTTGTCGCTGGCCTTTGTGCCACCTCCACGTTTTGGAGGGCATGTAGGAGACACACCCCAGCAGGCCTCTTCTTTGAGCAAGTCCCCCTGAACTGCAAGACAAGAGGGGGCCACGGGGCTGTCCCAAAAGCTCCACTGGAAAGCAGGGCGCTTCTCCCTTCACCCCTCCTGCCCCCTTTCCCTAACTTGCTGAGTCTTTTCCGAATGGAACCCTGTGGACAGGGGCTGCCTTGTTTTCCCAGGGGTGGCAGTGCTGCTGTGGGAGCCCTTTTGGCCAGGAAACTTCAGAAGGACTAAATGTAAGCATCAAAGCAGCTTCCGAGGAGGAGCCCCCCGCCCTCCGGCAAGGTCTGCACACAGCATGTTGTTCCGCAGGGTGTGGCGAGGTGGGGCAGACACACAAACAGCACACAGTTGCAAAATTCCAGCTCCTAAGAATCCCAGCTTTCTCTGCTTTTTCACCCCTTAAAAAAGCAAAAAGCACAGGTTTCTACTCATGACGACCACAGTTCAATGCATGGAAGGGTGTGGTCATGGCCCAGGGAAATTCCACACTGGGAAGAATGAGTTTTCCACCAGTTAGCAGAAGGGGTTCAGTGGAAAACAGATTGTGCAAAGTGTGTTGGGAGGTGGAATGCAGAAAAAATGCTCACATTTGCATGGTTTATGCCAGTTTCAGAAGCTTACTTCTTGGAGAACAGACTCTGATCTCCTTTGATGAGTAATTCTGGTATTCTGTGAGCTCAGTATGTAGAACCCCCACCCTGCAACTGTCCCTCATTCAGCCACGAGGGCTTTCACATCTAGTCTACACATCACGCAAATGAAACGGTGGCATTCTGGACTGTGCCACGTCAAAGGGCAGGGGTGTGCTCATCGGGAAATAAGGAGAGGAGCAGCCAAGCCTGGCTTGAAAGGTGCAGCAATGGAAAACTGGCAGTGCCATTTCTGAGTGCTTCCGCTCATTAAAAAAAATCCTCCGTGTTGTAAACACATCAGAGAGCGGGCAGCGTTCACCCTTAGCTACAAGCCAGCAAACAGAGGGTAGGATCTAGAGCAAAACTGGAGTACTCCCTTCTCTGTGGTTTCATTGCAGAAAGGGGGACTTTGGGTTCTAATTGTAGAAGCACGCTCGGAAGCGGCACACACGGCGTGGCCTGCTCGCGCCTGCAGCCCGTGAGAACTGGGATGGGCACGTGGCCGCTGCGGGTTTGGCCAGTGCCCGGTCTGACAGCCTCTTTCTCGCCTTACCTTCTCTCTTCATGCCCATGGCAAGACACTTCTGGTACCGGCAATACTGGCATCGGTTCCGCTGGCGCTTGTCGATCAAGCAATCTTTGTTGTCACGGCAGGTGTAGGTCAAGTCCTTCCGCACCGTCCGCTTGAAGAAGCCTTTGCAGCCCTCGCAGCTGTACACCCCGTAATGTTTACCTGCAAGGGAGCGAGCGGAGGAGAGAGCCCAGAGGTGCTGATGGAGCACGTCTTGGCACTGAGCATCGGGCAGGGGGCGTCTTGCACCCGCAGGCCAAGGTCAGGAGGAGCCTCCGCCTGTTTCTTTAACCACGGCTTCCTGGAGGGCTTCCTAGCTTTTGTGCAGTTCTTTTCCTCATCTTCAAACACTGAAATCCTCTCCGGAGGCTTAATGGCCAACCGGAAGTGCATTTGGGAACAGGCTGGTGTTCCCACCCCACCCTTCTGCCTCAGCCCACCAGCCCCAGAAGGCAGCCCCCAAGAGTCCTCCTAAGAGGGGGTTTGGCCCCCGCCTGAAGGAGGACTGACTCAATCCCGGATTAAGCACAAGACGAGGGACAGGATCTGGCTGTGCCGTCGCAACTCAAACGGCACCAGTGGCCCTCTGCTGAACGTTTCTGTGGCACACTTGGTTGTTCACTGTGACTGCACAACTGCTTGTGCAAGCAGCTGGGACATGCCAGCAGACCATGCAGCCACGGCTTGCACACCCGAGGTGCACAGCTGGTTGCACAAACACAGCTTCAGCTGGATTCTAAAGTGACACACTTGATTTAGTGACGCAAGGCTGGTGCAGGCGGCACGAGGCATTTGCACTGACAGGGTGGCACTGCTGGATTCTGCCCCAGCTTAGCCACCCGGAACCAACGCTCACAACGTGAGAGCTTGGAGAGGTTACGTTGTCGGGGCACCCGCAGCAGGTGCCTGGCAGCAGGGCTGTTACCTGAAGAGCGATCGCCGCAGATGGCACATATGTGCTTGGTGAAGGAGGCCATGGCTGCCGAGGGGTGCACTGGCACTTTGAGGACCCCGTTGATGCCCAAGGGGGGCTTAATGTCTTCCGTGCTGCTCACTGGGTTCATGGGCGAATTGAGCTGCAAGCGAACACAGAGGAACGGAGTGTCACGACGCCGTCTGGAGAGAGAAAGGAGGCCGCGCCGACGGCTGCGGCCCCCCAGCCGCCAAACGCACGTGCTTCTCCTCTGTGGTGGGAACAATGGCCATGGGCTGGTTGGAAAGATGCAGGCGATCCCAGTCTCCCCACAACCTGGGGCCCTCCCAGTGTGTTGGACTCTCAGCTGGCTAAAGCTGAGAAGAACCGAAGACCAGAGGAGCGCCTGAGCCGGCCTTTCATTTGCATTGCGGCTTCATGGCCCACTTGCCCAAGCGGGCGACCTGCTACTGCCATTGACAGAAATATCCGAGGATAGAGGCCTTGCTGATGACACACCGATGACTGTTTGCGTATCCACCCAACCCACCATGACCCCCGAGCAGGCCAAGATAAGGGCTTGTGCCTGGCCAAAGGTCTCCCAGTGAGGTGCAGGTCGAAGTCCCACAGTCAGGCTCGCGAGCCGGGGGCTGCATAGCTCTCCAGGCTGCTCCACCAAACCAGCAGGGACAAGTTTTATCCTGGCCAGCTATTATATAGCAACAATAGCAATAAGGATCATAATAAATCAACAAAGGCTTAAAATCCCAAAGAGCTTTTCTATATGAGGCTGCTCGTATGGATGAGGCGCATGACTAGGGTCAGGGTCGGGGTCAGGGCTGCTGCTTGGGAACAGCAGAAGCTGGTGGCTCCAGGCTCTTCCTACCCACCCACCAGCAGGTGCCCCCTCCCCACAGGGAATGGCCAAACCCAGAGAGGCAGCCAGGGTGGTCCCTTCTGAGCCGGCTGGGGGGCAGCTCTAGGGCAGAGGATCAGAGTCTGGGCTCCCACCTCCAAGCTCACAGAAGCCTGGCGCTGGGGGCGCAAAGCACCCTGTGCTCCCCTCACCCCCACCCCGGGCCATCCCAGGAGGCCGGAAGGTTGCCCTGCAGTGAGCGACTCTGCCTGTCTTGGACCCTGTTCTCCTAATTTGGGCCTCGACATGAGGCCAGGGATGAGAGCTCAGTCTGTCTCTCACTCGAGGGTCCCGGAAGCCCAGCGGTGGCTGTGCGCAACACAAGAGCCCGGCCCGGGAGTGAGTCCCTCACCCCAGCCGGGGAGGGGCTTCACAAAGCCCTGGAGAAGGGCCTCGCAGAAGCCAAGAAAGCCACGAGGACGGGCGCCTGGGCAAAGGGCCCGCGGCCGGGGAGGGGAGCCCAAGGGAGCCACTGCGGGCTGGGGAAGGGGATTCCACAACCCCGCAGTAGAGCTTGCCCTGTATCTGGACCAGGTGGGTGGGCAGTGGGGGCAAGGAGAGCGCCCTCTTCCTATTGCGCTCACAGCTTGGCCAGATTCCCCACCTGCCACTCTGCCCCTTTGGCAGCAGCCTGCAGAGAAAACCTGGGCTCCCCACCAGCCCCGGCACCGCCACACGCCTCGGGCTGCCCAGGCGCCCGCGGGAGCTGTGTGCTGGCTGGCCCTGCCCTCGACAAGCCCACCAGCAGGACCGGGCTTTCCCTTTTCAGACGCCCCATCTCAGCTCTTTCCGCTGCTGCCGCCGCTGGTGCCATCACTCCTCCCACCTCCTGTTTCAAGAACCAGCGTTGCCCGGTACGAAAGTTTCCCCTTCAAACTGGCTGGCTGGTTTCCTCCCTTTATTTTGGAAAGGAAGGGGTGGGTGGTTCTCTGGGCGAGGGAAAGCCCAGCTGCTCTCACATGCCCAACGCCAGCTTGAGAGGGCAGCCGGAGGAGGGCGGGGGGAGGCCCAGGCAGGTCTGTCGCCCCTTCCCTGGGGCCTTTGGGAATCTTCCTTTGCGCCTTTCTTGGAAAAGGAGCAAGCACTTGCTCGCGTTCTGCACACTGAGGCGTGTGTGGGCATCACACATGGGGCAGGGGAGGCGGGGCGAGGGGAGCTGCTGAATGAGCTAACTTCGATCCCTCACCTGGGAAACGCCCACCAGGATCCTTAGCAGGGGATCCTCTCCCGCAGAGGACAGTCTGCGTGTGAGGGTGTCCTTGGCTGGGAGGGCTGTCCTGCGCAGGGGAGGGAGGGAGGGACTGCTGCCCAAGGGCCCTGTATGCACACCCTGCAGAGCCTGCCCAAGGGTCCTGTAGATGCACCAAGGCTGGGTTCCCATTTAAGCCAGCCCTTTATTCAGAACCAGGAGACCGCCGGGCTCCTCCCTTGCTCTGGGTGGAGGGGCTGCAGCTCCACAGCGAAGCCGAGCGCCTGCTTCATGTGGAGGGAGCCGGGGGCTGCTTCCTGCCTCGGCAGGGAAGCTGGGAAGGACCCCTGCCGGGAACCCCAGAGAGCCCCTTCTGGGGAGCCAAGATCCCCTGCGGACAGTGCTGGGGTGGGGCAGAACTCGGCACAGGGCAGCACCCAGAGCCCTGCTCCATCCTGAAAACAGCACACCAGAGCTCTGGGTGCAGGCCAGAAGTGCGGATCCACAGCTCACCCGGCCAGTCTTCTGCACTGAGGAGAGGTTTGTGGGACGCCTCCTTAGAGTCAAATAGTTATTTCTAGATTTGCATCTATTTGCATGGGCAGAGGTCCTCTCTTGGAAGGGGAAGAGCACACTCCCGTTTTCTGGTGCTCCACTGCAGGACCATCCTGCAGCCCTCCATGCCCTGAGAACACGGGGGGAGACCTCTCCAGCCTCACCATAGCCCGATGCTTCAGCGCCACTGGATGCCCTTTCCGGGAAGACGTTTGAAACAGGCTCTGAGGCAGGGAGCCCCTGGCCTTCCTCTGTGAGGGGGACTGGGGAGGCCCTGCCCTGGCACGGTGTGACATTTGATGGGTGGGAGGATGACACAAAATCCCAAATTGGCAAAAGTGGGAGTCCTGCATCACAGAGCCGGTTGGCCCTGATGGCCTTCTGGCCCCTTCTGACTCTGCCCTTCTGTGATCCCCTGAAATCAATGGGGGCAATGCTCTTCTCTGCTCAAAGGGTGCCTGCAGCCAACATCCCTGCTTGCAAGGTTCATGCTTCCAACCATCCCTTGACCTGGAGCCAAGCGCGGATGAAGCTCTGCCCTCTCCTCTCCTCCCTTCCGGCTGATGCGGGGGCTGACAACTGGGAAAGGGTGCCGGGCAACACAGAGCCCTTAAGCGCAGGCCACTCAGTGGGCACCCGGAGGGACAGCTTGGCCTGAGTAGCCCCATTAACCTTTCATCTGCATGGGCTCTTCTCGCAAGGACAGCACACCAAGGTGGGCAAAGACCTACCCTCATCCGTACAGCACGCCTGGCTGTTTGGGGTGGGACCCTGGGGTTCTCCAACTTGCACAGGATCGCTTCGGCACTAGCGTGGCCTGCCTCCGCTCTTCCTCCCTGCCCACCCGCAGGCTGCAACCCTGGGGATCCCTATGAGTCGGCAGAAGGCTCAGGAAACCGCTGACTCACCTCCCGCAGACAAGAACTCCTGAAGTTCCTCTTTAGGCGACAGGCCTAGGAGCCATGGCGCCTCTCAGGCGCCGTCCCATCCCATCCCCGGCCGCCTGCCGATCCTTCCTCTTCCATTTCTCGGCACCACAAATGGCACTCGAGCAGGTGTGGGAGAGGAGTGCTGGAGGGGTGGCGCAAACCACCCGGCACAGAACTGGGGGCAGTCGCTGGGCTGCAGGCAGCTGGGCTCTTCCCCACGGGCAAGGGAGCTGATTCCCGGCATCTGCCTGCAGCGGGGACGCCACAGGTGCCCCGGCGCTCTGCGGGCACAAGGCCTTTGGATGGTGCCTGGCTGCTTTCCGCAAGCGAGTGCTGTGCAGCCATACTGGAGTGCAAGAGCCACGCGTCCCGTCCCGTCCCGTCCCGTCCCCCACTGGCCAGGTGCTTGGCTCTACCACCCCCCGCCTGCCCAAGCCAGGCACCAACGCGGAGCGGCACATGCACGGCGGCCACGACGCCACGCAGGACCAAGGCCTCCGGGGAAGACTTCCTGGCGGTCAGGATCCTGTGGGCATGGCACGGGCTCCCATGGGAGGCCGCCAACGCTCCCTCGGTGGGGGCGTTCAAGGACAGGCATGCCACGAGTGGAGCCGGCTGCAGCCGGCAGTCAGACGAGACGGCCTGGGAGGCTCCCTCTGGCTCACCCTGTTTCTGCATGTCAGGCTTCCTCTGCAGTCCAGAAGGACCGGCGCCTCCACCTCCCCCCCAGCGTGCGAGGCAGCCCACTTGCCAGCAAAGGCCAGCCGGGGCCTCGCTCGCTAGCCAGACGGACCAACGCTGCGCCCAGCAGGAAGGGGGCCGCTCACGCCAGACAGGCTTGCGGGGGGCAAGAGGAGCACGCCTGGCACTTGCGCATGCGCTGCGCCCCGTCTCCAGCCAGGGCTGGGCTTCACACAAGGCCGGGTGGGGCAGCTGCCTCCAGTGGCAAAAGCCTGGGGTGGCTTTACTCACGGGGGACCCAAAATGGCCCGGAGGCGGCCAGGCCAGGGACAGGCCCCTTTCCCGTGCAAGTGAACAGCCGTCACCGTGCAAGTCAAGCACCGGCCCCAAAACCTTCTGCTCGGTGCCTCCAGCTGTGGGAAATCAAGCCTGCCTGGTGTTGAAATCGCTCCGCACACACATCCTGGCCAGCAATTCTGCCTCTTGGTCACCCTCAGATGTGACCGAGGGACGACAGGATGTCAGCAGGCATGCGCAAGTGCACACGTTCATGTGAACTTCCAGAGGCACGGCCCACCAAGAAACTGGTACTGGTTACAGAATGCTGTTGCCAGATAATTTCTGCCTTGGGCTGGAAAGGCAAGCTTCTAGTCTTTATGACTGCAAACACTGCACATGCCCAAGAAATGCTGAGGTCCTGGAAGCCAGTGAGGTCTCTGGCTCAGATTGTCAGTAGTGGGGGTGGGGAGTGTTTATACAGAGCTCCACGGGCCTCCCTCCCCAGTGAGCAAAGCCCGAAAACATGTGCCAACTAGCACGCATTGCAAAAGAAAGTCACAATTGCATAATATCTGCAGCTCAAACAATTTGGTTTTTCCTTGGCATGGAATGTGGACAGTTCCTGGATAAAGATTTCTTTTTCCTTTTGGATATAGTCCTAGCCGAATCCACAAGTTCAAACCAAACCAGCATGTATGCCACAAAACCTGCAAGCTCCCCGCACCCCATGGCTCTCAAGGAGAGACCTGGCGTGAGAGACCAGCCCCCCGAGGCCTGCGACCCCCGGCTTTGCCATGCCCTTCACTGTGTCCTTCCGCTCCACTAGTCCGCAGACCCGACAAGCCATAGCCTGATCGCAAGCGACACCTGCCGTCTGATGCACAACACCTTCCATCCGCACCGCCTCTGCTGGGGGTAGGGGGACGCTCCACTTGCCTGGGAGCATTGTGGAAGTGAGTAGAGGCAAGGGGGACCTGGCCACCCGCAGGTGGGAAGCGGGGGCACCATCATCCTCGGAGAGACGCCTGCTCCTTTCCTGCACAGAGTCACAGAAGCGTTGGCGGGGCTTTTCCCATTCCTGTATTATGCTTTAGGCACGCTCAGCTGCGTGATGCCTGGCTGGGGCCACAAAAGATTCCCCTCCAAAGAAGAGGGAGGGAGGGAGGGAAGGAGGGAGGGAAGTGCTTGCAGGGGAGAAACTAATCCGGGCATGAGTGGCTTCAGAGTCTCCTACGGGGAAAGCACTTAAGCCTGACCATGAGTAAATGAGAGCCCTTCCTCGTGTGCACGGCATTCCCGGTGCTTCAAGCAACCGTGCACGGCTCATCTCCCCCTTTCCTCCTCCCCTCCCTCCCTCCCTCCCTCCACCACTCTTCTGTTTATTTCCGGTCCTTTGCATTGCGTGAACCATCCTAAAAATAGATGGAAGGCAAGGCGGTTCTCCCCAGGGAGCTGTGGAGCGAACGCCAAGAAGGCTTTCCTCCCTTCCAGTGTTTTACATGCTGGCGTGATCCATACAGCAGGGAGAACACCAGAGGAGGGTTTGAGTGAGCAACGGGCAAATGGCCGATGGCCGAAATAACCCGCATTCACCAGCGGCACCTCACCACTCACCCCAGTCGCTGCTGGCTCCGCGTGAACAGGAAGCATATGCCAACTAAATGAGCGCACGTGGAATTTATGCAAACATTCTGGCTTGCTCAACTTTCCTCCAGAGACTACAGCAGGGCTGATTCATGTCACGTGGAAAACTTGCGCAAAATTGAACTAGGAAAGTTGCGCAAATTGAATGCTTGTCTGGCAATTTGCAGACATTTTCAACAGACACACGCTTGCCTGCCTGTGTGACCAGGGTGTTGAAAAGGGCACAAACTAAATGCTTACACACCTCCAGTGTGCTTCTCTTCTCACTGGCCACCTTTGCACAAGTTGCTCTCTCTTGACTCAATGGGCTTCACCATGCGTGCAAGCGTGTGCCCAAAATGTGCAGAAGGTCTGTGAGACGCACTGGGCAGAGGCACATGGGGCTCAAATCCCCCTCGATGCTCACTGAACAAAGGCACTCTGGATCAATATCTCTATGTTCTTTATATATAAGTAAACCTGCCTAAAATCCTGACAAATTAGAGGAAGTCCCAAGTCCGGCAAATCCACACAGCTCAGGAAAAACCAGTCCACTGCAGAACCCATGGCCTGGATTCGTTAACTTCCAAACTCATTTGAGCCTGCGGCTGAGTTTTCCAACATCCCAGTCCACGCAGGAGCTCTGGACCCGCAGTGCCTGGCCCAGTGAGGCACGGCGGCCATTCCCTCCTCACGGACCTCCTCGGGATTTGGGTTCCTCGCCCCAGACCCCAACGGCCCCATGCCTCAGCTGTGCCTTGGGTCCAGGCCAGGCGGGGCTGCCTTCTCTGCTGCCCTGGCCCTTCTGACCACACACAGCCTGCCAAGGGCCCCAAATCCAGCTCACAAACGATGCCGGTGGCTTGGCAGGTGTGCAGCTTCTGCAATGGAGCGGAGCGGAGCGGAGCGGTGGGGGCAACTGCCCAGTGGTTGCCAGTTCCTTGATCTGCCTTTCTGCTACCCCCCCCCCATCAAGCAACTCGCTTTCCCCCGAGGAATGTGACACTCCGAGCCAAGCTCTTGGCCACCCCTGCCCGCCCTCCCACCCGCCAGCAACAGGTGGCGGGCGCAGGCAGCTCCCCCTATTTTTATCCCAGGAGCTTATCTCCTCGTAGTGGGAGGGCATCTTTCTTTGCTTTGCTTTGCTTTCCCGCACATGATCTTCTGTCCACACAGCAGTCTCCCAAGAAGGAAAGCAAATCTGCAGCGCAGGCGGGGGAGACAGCGCAAGAGCCCACCGCAGGCCCATGCCTCCGCCGTGCTCCCCACCCCGCACGTGCGCGTCCACCGAGCACCGGGCCTCCTATCCCCGCTGCATTCAGCCCGCATCCCTCGGCCCACGGCCGCAGCAGGGAAGGCGCCTCCTTCCCCGTGGACAGCCAGCCCTCCCACGGCCACACGCTCACCCACCATGCTCCCTGCTGTGGCACTTTCTACTCGCAAGAAGGCGCCGCGCCCTCCCCCCTTGCTCTCTTCTCTCAGCGCAAGGGAACGACCGGCAGGGTGCTCCCTCCGGCAGCCACTGGGCGCCACCAAGCCCGGATGCAAGGGAGGAAGCCGCTCAGAAGGCCCGGGCCCTCAGCTGCACCCCACCCCCCACTCCGGGCAGAACTGCTGCCGGGCTCTGCTAGATGAGGCCAAGGGTCCCGGCAGTTGACCCACGCAGGGCCCACAGGAGGGATGGGGCTGCTTCCCAGGCAGCCTCCCCAGCAAAGGTGCAAGCAGGCCTCCCATCCCTCACCCTGGAGCCACTGGGACGAGTGGCCACTGGCAGCCTTCTCCTCCAGGGACATGCTCCGCCCCCAGCTGGGTGGCCATCACTGTATCTCCTGCTAGAGAACTGCACATTTTAGCACAGCACCAAGTGAGGAAGGACAGCTTTAAATTGTCCTAAACCCACCCCCATTCAGCTTCACGGGATGATCCCACTGGGGTCCAATATTTCAAGGGGGAGAAACGTGTCTCCCTGGCCACTTTTCCCACCTGTGAATTGTTCTGCACAGCTCCAGCCCACCTCCTCCTCATCCACCCCTTCCCCAAGCCCTCGGCGGTGCGACGGCGCCAGTCCTGGGAGCATCTCCGCTGCCCCATCGCAGCCCCGCAGCAGTCTTCCTCAGTGTGCCTGAAGCAGAGGCCCTTGCTGGTGGGGAGCGCTGTCACTCAGCCAGCCCCTCTCCGCACCATCTGGGGCCACTCACCTGTGGGCTGCCGGTTCCAAATCCAAGGCCGGGGGTGGACGGGCCGGACATCGAGTGAGCCCCCATTGGGGAGCTGATGACGGAGAACGGCGGCCCCATGCCGTTGATGGGCGAGCTCAGCGTGCTGATGGGCGAGTGCAGCTGGCTGGGGGACCCCAGGGAGCTGCCGATGCCGGGTCCCATGGGCGGATGGAGGGTGGGTGCGTTCATGGGCCCGCGGCTCGTCGGAGAACTCAAGGAAGTGGAGCTGACCTGGGCAGAAAAGTCTGTGGAGCAAAAGGGAAAAGAAACACAATGAGTTGGAATGGGGAGGGGGCCCCGAGCCACAAGCGCACCGTCTTTCTCACCTCTCGAACAAACAGGCGGGGGACAGGGACAAGCCGAGCTTGAGGCGGGCAAGCCCCTCGAGGATGGCCTCGCGGCCTGCCCTGCTCGTGCACACCCCACAGGCTTGGCCTGGCAGACCCTGTGCCAGCCGAGACATGGTCAGCAGGAGATGAGTGCCGCTCCCCGCAACCGTCGCCAGCTTCCTCCAGGGACCAAGGTGGGGCTGGCTGATTCAGCCCAGTGAGAAATCTGCCCAAACTAATGGACTCTGAAATCAGACTGTCACGGGCCCGTTTGGCAACCGGAGGCATCCTCGGCCGGCACGTGCTGCTCTCAGCACCTCAGCAAAGCAAGCAAAGCAGGGGTCGCACATCCCCAAAGAATCCGCGGGGACGGCTGGAGCGGGCTCACGACTGCTGTGCAGGAGGACACTTCGCTCACCCCCCTGCCTCCATCAGACCAATGGCAGTCACAGCAAGGGATACTTGCCAGGGCAATCACGAGCTCTCCGTCCTCCTCTTCTGTCTCAGGCCTCCCTCTAAGCATGGAGGCCCGGTCCCAGGATGGAGAACAAGCCAGTGAGACATGATTTGATTCTTGGGTTCCGTTTTGTTCTTTGCAGTTGTGTTTGTTACTTGTAGGGGGCATTTTTTCTTATTCTAAGTGTTCTTCACAGCATCTCTGGGAACTGCAGTAGCAACACCTGCAATACCCGAAATGGGTGAAATCAATCCCCAACTAGCCTGCAGGCTGCTAACCGAGCGCCACCTGAGAACGCGCTCCGGCCGTGCCGGGGCAAGTCTCGCAAGTGCTCCTTCTCCCTCCCAGCCCCACCAGCCGCCTTCACTTGCTCCTTCTGTTTACATGTCGCTCTCTCCAGGCAGACACGTTCCAAAGTGCTGGGACATGGCTGCTGGAGCAGCAAGCTGGACAGGAGGAAGGGACAGGACAATGCAGCACGGAATGAGAGAGCCCAGCTCTTTGGCACTGCCAGGCACTTGAACACCCTCCCCACGACTGCAGGACCACATTTCCACAGGGTGGCGGGAACAAGGCAGAAGGCTGGCAGGGGTAGACAAGGGCCTGGCAAAGCAGCTGCTCGACCTGACCCATCAAATATTGACAGAAGGCTCATCTTCATTAGAACAACAATTCTTTAATCATTAGTGGTCGTGACACTTCAACGGTTCTCAGAATGAAATTAATTCACAGATCCTGTGAAATTGGGGCTGACTCTCAGTTTCAGGGGGTCCTTCTCCAAGACCAACTCAATGGGCCTGCTCCCTCAGAAAGCCCACCTTCTCCCCACCAAGCTGCTAGCTCCTTGTGCTCCTCCCTCCTCTTCCTCCTCTTCATGCCCCCCATGTGCTTGGCTGGCCGGCGGAGAGTCAGGAGCAATCTGGCCAGGCACCTCCTGCTCCTCTGCCCCCCATCTCCATCATCCGAGCCTGAGCAAGGGGGCAAACAAGCAGGCTGCCCTGGTGGAGAGAAGGAGCCAGCCCAGAGGCCCTTGGAAGTTACTGGGCCACATCTGGAATACTGCACACAGCTGCGGTTGCTCCATCGCCAAAAGGACACTGTGGGATGGAAAAGTGCATCCTGTCCACCGAGGCTGTCAGGAGTTTGGTGACTTCCCTATGGGCAAAAGCGAAAGCAGCTGAGAAGTTCTGTTTGGGGGAAGGCTGTTCGGCGTGCGGCCTGCCATGGTTGGCAGGGCGGGATGCGGAGCGGAGCGGGGCGGAGTGGCATGCCGCGGCCAGCTCTGCCCGGTTGCTGAGGGCACGGAAGTCCTGCGGCAGAGCCTGAGGGAGGCGTGAATACGGTTTCCTGACCTTGCTGCTCCCCACCCCAGCCAAGCAGCCCGAGGGAACCGTCCCACAGCGTGCGCCCAGCTGGGGCGTGTGGTCGCCCAGTGCCCCGGGCGGAAGGGCAGGGCCACGCTGTTCCTTCTGCTCAGCGGGATTGGAGGGAGTGGGAAGCAGGCTGGAGACCGTTTCTGTCTCAGGGACCGGATGTAGGGCATGAAATCCAACTTTCCTGAAGCAGGATCTCTGAGAAGCAAATGCAGACAGCACGTTTCCACCAAGGCCCAGCATCTCCAAATCCCTGCCAAGTGCAAAGCATCCAAAGAATGGCTGGCGAAGACACTGTGAAGCCCAAGGCAGAAAATTCCACCGGAGCCCTAAGTAAGACAGGCCACTTCTGCACAGACTTCCTCCAACAAGTAGGAGCCACGCAGAATCAAGTGCAGCACCAGCAAACACAACTCCTGTCGACACTGCTAAAATGGAGCTCGTGTTGCAAGACCCCCATTTTCGAACCCATGCAAACGCACAAACAGGGCACCTGCTTTCAACTGCTTTCTGCCCCAAGGACTCAGAAAGAGATGCCAAATGGGAAAGACAACGAAAGCACGAGGACATTTGGGGTTTCACCTCAGTTTCGTCCACCAATTCTAGCGCCTGAGCTGTGGCACATGAATCGCAGGGCAAGCTCCCTGCGTGTCGCATGCTAAGTCGACGGAATGAACCATGAGAGCTAGTGGCATCGCCTGCCCAAATGTTCACTCTCAGAGTGACTCCCTGCCCTTTTCATAAGTCCATGTCTTAAGTGTGCACAGTCTTATAATCACAGGCACCTAAGTCTGTGGATATTTAAAGTTGGAGAACTTAAAAAATCAGCATGCGCACAAGTCACTCAGGCATTACTGGTGTCTGCAAAGCAAGGGCACACGACACATAAATAACAAGATTAGGTACAAACTTCACATCCACACCCTAGAGGCATTTTGGCCAGGGCCACTTGTAAGTGCTGCAATTGGAAATCAAAAACAAGTGAGAGAAGGATTTGAAATCAAAACTAATTACTAATAAAAGCATACCTCCAGCTGCGAATGCAACAGCCAAAGGTTTGTTTCATGGGCAGCAGGGGATTAGGTGGCACTTTGCCCACTCCCAAACAAGGAAGTGGGGGCTAGAAACTTAAGTCTTTTTGAAATGGAAAGATAGATTCATTGTGATTCTCTGGCAGGGCCCAAGCCGCAAAATCAACCTATCTGTGTGGCGACCAAGCAGGAAATCCAGCTTGAACCCAGAAGCCCTGGGGCGAGGTTCTGCTAAAGCCCGGACCTGTGACAGTTTCTGAGACTCTGATGGGCTTTTTCATTTTCCAAATCTATAAAATTGCCATAAAAGCAAATTAAAGAGCAAGGAGATACCACTCGAAGTCAAATGAGTGTCTTATTGAGAAACAAGACAGCAGCTAGTTTTGGTGGCAATTAACAGGGTGACTACAATCGTTAAAAAAGCAGCAGTGGGGGAGACTGGAAAGGAAACTGGCAAGAGAGGAGAGGGCTTGCCACGGGTGGATGGCCACATAAGAGAGGCTCCCTCAGCGGCTCTAGCACCCTGTGTGAAGACTGCCCCTGGGGCATCAGGGGTGGAGAGGCTGGCATGAAACCGAAGCTTTGAAAGTGAGTATGTGGCCTTTTTGCCACCTTCCAAATTGGGTGGCAGTTCCGCAGCTGCCAGCGTAGCCCCGCTGGTGGCCCCGGGACTCTCCGAAGTTGTCCCCCCTGTCTTAGGCACTGCCTGTATTGCCCGAGAAAGGGCAGGCTCCCCCAGGACCGCAAGTGGTGTGCGTGGGGGCTGAGAGGTTGTACTAGGAGCTCCAGGCACATTGCAGACTCTCAGTCCAACCTTCTCCACAGGGTTGTTATGAGGGCAAAAGGGAAGAGAGGAGGCCCACACAAGCGGCCCGGCCATCCAGGCCAGGGGAGAAAGCAGGATATCTGTGCGGTGCGGCCATGACGCCCCTCTGACAGATGCACTGGGGGAAGACACCCACAGCGAAAATGCACCGGAAATGCTCTCCCGCTGGCCTGTACCACCTTTCTCCAGGAGGGCTCCATCACCCTGGATTGTGACACAGAAGCCATCCCCAGCAAAGCCAGAAGGACCCAGGGAGCACGGGCAATCCCAGATAAGGCATCAGGGATCGTTAGGGCTTTTTAATTGCATTCAGCTGCTGTTTGATGGGCTCCAGGCAAACTGGAAGTGATGTAATTGCCCATGTGGGGCTGCTGAGTTTTGACTGAGGAGAAAAACAGAACAGCAGAGAGGTGGATTGTTTTGTTTTGCTTCTTTTCCCCCAAACTGGGATAAAGTACAAGGTTTCTGTTGGTTCAGGCAGCAGTTGGGAATCATTCCTGACACTGGCCATTTCACATTTCTGCTTCATCTTTGAGCAGATAAACATTCTTGTTAAAATGCAAACACATTAAACAAAATTTGAGAATATGTTTCTAGCCCGTAAGGCTGTAGGGATCAATGCTACCCAATTAATTTGAGAAACCAGCAGTGCGGGGCACGAGTCTGAGTTTTGCTACTGCATTCTTTCCTACTTATCCATTTCAAATATTTTCAGCCTACTTTCTAGGGTACAGTTCCCCAAGGCAGCTTCATCCACTACATTGATCCTCAATAGAAACACATTCCTGCAACCAAACATGCACAAATTGCATGGCTGAGAAACAAGCGTGCTGGGGCAGGGGGAGGCAACTGCTCCTGTAGTAACTGCTCCATTATACCAGGTGTGCAAATTTCCCCTGGACTTACTTCCCTGTCATTCCAGGTGTGTATATCCCTGCATCATCAGCACCGGTGCAGTCCCCACCCCCCACCCCCGCCCCACATCCGTTGCCTGGTGGGCAGCCTGCTCCACTTTGCCCTTAGGCAGCTGAAACTTGACCAGAACAAGGAACCTGACTGGGCAAGATTCCCCTACAGGACAGCAGCAAGCTTGCCCTTGCAAAAGGCAAAAAGGATCAGCAGCTCCCCTTGTAAATACACCTTGGAAATGGGATGTCCCATGTGATGTTTGCTTGCTGCAAGGAGGCCACCGAACCCTTTGTGAGGTTTCACTGCTGCTGGCAGGCTGG